CCTGAAGGAAACAACATTTCTTCATAATTTTGCTGAAGAGAGGCCTCATGGAGCTGGTGTGGCAATTTTAAGAGTAACTACCTGAGATGTGTTTCATGTGCTTTTGGAATATGTTGCCACATGGCTTATTTTTAGATTAAAAACAAATACTGTAATGCAAACCTTTGGACATATCCAATACACTTGTCTATTTGATATGGCCTGTTCTACTAATTCAAGTGCAGTTTTTGCCTCCGGTGTTAATTTTCTTGATGAGGTTAACTCAGTGTCACCTTTAAGGATGTTAAATAAAGGTGTGAATTGTGGGTAATCCTAAATCCTAAATAAGGTCTTACCCAATTAATGATACCCAAAAGTTTCTGTGCATCATTTAAAGTCTGAATTTTTGTTGAAAATTGAAGTCTTTGCAGTTGTATGGTTTGATCTAATATTTTGACTCCCAGGTCTGACTGATTCCTAGTCATTCTTTGAACTGCCATTTTGGGCAGAGAAGCTTTCAGGAAAACAACTTGTCTGTTAATGCTGACTCTTGATGAATGGAGTCTGTACACAGCTGAATCTTTAAGCAATGAAGACACAGGGCATTTGTTTTAATTTTCATTTTCTTTCCACAGCTACAACATTATTGCATTGGACATTTTTTTTAGGCTCTACTATTAATTAAAAAGTATTGTCAAGGGTACTACTTCACTGTTGATTCTCAATTTACAGATAATATTTCTAATTTATAACCTGGAGACTGAGTCTTGCCAAAATGCCGTTTTTAATTAATATAGTTAGGTGTAAAGTACAAATTAGCCCTATGGCGCAATTATGGAGCTTCTCTAGATGATACAAACATCAAGGCTCACACAGTGAAAATAGAGATATGGAAGTGCCTATATAGCTATTCCTGGTTTGAATGGTTCCATCACACAGGGTTTGCACGAGGATTTGGGTTCAGTGAGGAGGGAATTCTGTCGTATATGATTTAATATATTATTCTGTTTTTTCAACCCTTAGTTTTACCATCTTATTAACTGTACATTTTTATTGTCCTCGTTGCTGCAGTTGGATGTCCCATTGCTTTCATAAATGGCATGCCAGAATTTTATCAGCTAAATATACATCACTGAGCCAGGCAATTTCTGTTTTTGTTTCTGTTTGGACTGGCAAACTTCCTGTTGGATTAAATGTTGTGAGATGACTTCAGTATTTGGATGTGCAATAAAAGAAAGAAAAGGATGGAAGTACTATATTCCTAGCCTTTCCCTCGATACTCTTCCTTGCAAAGAATGGAGAGTTGACATTTTTAAGGACTGACACAGTTTTGTATAAATCACTTCTAGTTGAAATATGTCCTCCCAAGAGCACTCTACAACATGAAAGACAAGTGTTGCATTCACCTCATCTAGTTGCTTTGCTTCCCTCCTCCCTCTAGAGAAGGATGAACACATTGCTCCCTCTAGCATATCATCAACATTAACTTGGTTTGAGAGCTGTCTGAGCACCATTTAGTGCCCAGATAATTAATTGAAAACCCCCAACACTTTCTTGCTTCCAAAGGCAGAGATGTGGCTTTGTAGTACTAATGATTGCATGCCATTTGTGGAATTTGCTTAATTGAGGTGTATTGACTTTCTGCCTAAATCAGATTACTTTTATCCATATTGATTACACAGTTATAAAATCCCTGTGGAAATCTCTCTATTAAATGTTATAAATCTCCCTGCTAATGTGACATAAATGCCCTGCTGTTTTCACTTGATGCACCAATAAACAAATCAATTCTTGCAGTTTGATCATACACCTAAGGCTGAAGTTACTGATATAGTGACTTTCCCTTTTTATTTGATAGTGAGCATTGTGCCACTCAGATTTGACTGGAAAATTTTCACTTCTTCATAACCCTAGTCATAGTTAGATGAAGGAAGTCTCATACTCCAACCTTTTCACAAGCCACCTTGAACAAGAACACTAAATAATTATACCACTAAGCTTCACACAGCCAATATAAAACATCTTGGTGACTGGCAACATCCATTCATCTTTCCCCCCCCCCCCCCCACCCACAAATTCTGTAATTTTTACTTCTCTATTTAACCTGTTCCTGAAATTGTTTACGTTAATGCTTGCTTTTTGGCATCACAGTCAACATCAAAAACGACAGTTTCTAAACAGCAACATGTACATTTGGCACCAGAGCACTTGCTCTGAGGGTGATGCTCAAAAGCAATGATTTCAAGCAATCTTCCTGGTGAGGATGCTCCCTTGCAGAAACAGGCTATGCTTTTGAAAGAGCCACATGGATACTATGATACAGCTTTCCCCAGAATTCCCTCCTTACTGAAAACAAATCCTGATGCAAACCGTTTGCAGAAAAATAATTACTCTTTCACCAAGAACTTCCTTCAATAAAAGATTTGACTTGCAAGAGTGTTTTTCCATGACAGATTTCCGAGAGCCTCAACATGTAGCACTCTTCCCTGGAGGTCACTGGTGTCATCAGAAGCAAATTACGCATTAACTGACATAAATATGGCAGGAGATCTTTCTCCTTTTCAATGCCTTTATTAAAGAGATTCAGCTCAGGTGGGGAGAAATCGACGGGTCGCGCCCACGCCGCCGCTGTCCCCAAGAGTGGCACGGAGGAGGAGGGTGGTGCAGCTCTGTCCGCTGGTCTGCAGGCAGAGCTGGGGACTGCGTCCTCACGGGAGATTGGCAGATTCCTGCTTTTCAGGCCAACACTTCGGGTCCCCTCCTTATGGAACATCTCTTGAGGTCAGGGTGTGAAGCAAAAAGGATCCAAGCAGGCACTGGACTTCACGCCCGTCCTTAGACATCACCTAGGGTCCCCTAATTCTGTGTTGGCTCGTTGTTTTTAGGGGTTTTCTAGGAAAACGGGAAAATTTTGGCGCGGTGCATTTCTCATTTGCGTACGTGGTCCCAGGCCACTTCTATTCTCCTGGGCTGCTTGTCCAGGTGTAGCTCCGGGGCAAGCATTGGGAGAACAATGGCTAAATCACCAACCATTAACGGGCAATTGAAGAACTCTTTACAATTAAGCTAATTTAACAGCAACTGGTCCCACCGTTTTTTTTCTCTGTAACCTTAAATAAAAATAGGTATCTTTTTATTCATAACATTAACCATCGTGTGCATATGCAAGAGGTACTGGACCTGGCTGCAAATCTTCAGTGACCTGCCATAAGTGGCAGTTCCTGTTGTATCAGAGTTCCTGGCCCCTCTATTCTTGTGTTTCCCAGGACTTATTCTGTTTCTCCTGGTGCACCTGAAATAAATAGGGCAGGAGATTTTTCTCCTTTTTAATGCCTTTATTAAAAAAATCAGCTCAGGTGGGGAGAACCGACGGGTCGCACCCATGCCACCGCTGCTCCCAGGAGTAGCACGGAGAAGGAGGATGATGCAGCTGTGTCTGCTGGTCTGCAGGCAGAGCTGGGGCGTCTGTCGTCACGAGAGAATAGGCGATTCCGTCTTTTCAGTCTGACATTAGAACATTCGAGGTCCTCTTTCTAGCCGTCTTCCTCTAGGTTAGGGTGTGAGGTAAAAAGGATCTTAGCAGACATGGGATTAAGTTCCTCACCTTTAGACATCAGTTAGATCTCTTAATTGCATGTTGCTCGTTGTTTTAGGGGTTTTTCTTGCAAGAGTGGCTTCTCATTTACATACGAGCTCTGACGTCACATCCTCCCCCGCCCCCGCTACCTGCAGCCTCAGGTGTCAATCCTCCGGGAAGCAGCGGGGGGACAATTGAGCTGATTTCTAACCATTGAGCTGATAACCATTGAGCTGATAACAGGTAATTGAAGAAAAACTATTAACAAGAGGTGATTACAACCTGAAGTTATTAACAACAGCAATTGGTTTAACTTGTTAACTCTGCAACTTAAAAAAATGGACAACTTTTCTGCTCATAGCACACCTTCTTATGTATGAGGGATGTGACATACATGGCATGGAATTAAATAGTCAAAGCCAAGACTAACAGAAACACACGCATGTCATAACTATCTGTGAGAAACTATCAGAGGATAACTCTGAGATTCTGGGCTTGATCCTCAAGAAGGATCTAAACACATGAATCCTTAGCACTAAAATATACTGCTTTTCACTTTAATAAAAAGGATGGGCTTTGTGGGCTCAAGGGTTTTCTAGCACCTAACTCTCCTCCCCTTTTCCTACAGAGTGATGATCACCCTTGTCTTATCGTCTGGAGTAGACTATCTTCTTGCCTTTGCTCTTGCTCATCTATTAGTGCATGTTTGACTGATTATTTTTGCTCTCTGTCAATTTTTTCAAGTATTAGAACAATTATTTTCAGCTTTTACCTAGCCACGAAGTTTGCTGCTTCTTTTTCAAACCTGAAGTACTTTTGCCAGAAAACACTGGTCTGATTTTTTTACCGGAAGTATTTTCATTTCTGCTGCCCTGAAAAAAGACACTGCCTCTCGTCATGGCTTCCCTTTTCCCAAGAAAATTCCCGTGCGTTTCGGGGTGCTGCAAATCAGATCTTTCATCTGTCACTCACGAAGCATTCATCTCCGCGTGCCAGATTCAAGAAGGGCTGATAGCCTCAAACTAACGGAAGTCAGGAGTGATTCCTCCATGTCTTTCTATTCTAAACTTTGCGATTTCCCTCTTCCCTCTCCAGGGGCCGAACGGGGGAGGGGCTGCGCGAGAAGGGGAGTAGGTGGAAAAATGAAAGAAAGTCATAGTTGACAGGCAGTTTCGTGGAAGAGAGGGACACCGAGGGGAAAGCTGTGGGACCGCGCGGGACACGCGCGGGTGCCGTGGCGGGAGGAGGCGAGCGGCAGAGCCGAGGACGGCGCGTCCCGGGGCCGATGGGTGGCGGGGGCCGGGCGCGGCACGGCACGGCAGGTACCGCCCAGGGCCGCCAGGGGGTGCCGGCGCTACGGCCGGCCAAGGCCGAAGGGCGCGTGGTGCCCGCGGGGCGCGGCGGGGCCGGACCGAGACGCGACGCGGGGCGGGCACAAAAGCGCCGCGCCCGGACACGCAACCTTGGAGTCAGCGCCGGGGGCAGGGTGGAGTCGGTGGGCTGGAGCTCAGCACTTAGCGGCCTCGGTGAGGGAGGCTGTCTAGGGAACTCCACGATGCCGAAGCCGCGGCAGCGCGGAGCGCGGGTTTTGTGGACGCTGCTGTGGGTAGCCGTGGTGCACTCCTACAACGTGGATGTGGGTCGCCCCGTGATTTTCCGGGGTCCCAACGGCTCCTTCTTTGGGTATTCGGTGCTGCAGCACTACCACGATAGGACACGGTGGTGAGTTGCACGGTCCCTCGCGTGCCCGGGATCGGCTAGGGTGCGGGTGGCGGCGGGGATGCGGCCTGGCAGTCGCTGCCGGGATATCCATCCCTCCTGGCAGCCGCATCTCCCGCAGCGGGGCGGCAGGACCCGAGTCCCCTCGAATGGGCCGCAAAGGGGCGCCTCCGCCCTGGACTGCGGGGTCTCTCCCCGCGCTCGGTCCACCTCTTCGTATGGGCTCGTTGGAGGCGGAGTTGTGGGCTCCGCGCCCTTTCTACACGAGTGATTTCTCTTATGCGAGTAGGGGGCCCTGCGCTGGGAGGCGTTTTAACACGGGGATGTCCTTTCTGGTCTGGCAGCCGGCTCTTGGCATTGTGACCTAATTGTCCTCAAGTACCAGCTGGCCCGCGGCCGATGTCTCGGCGCTGTGCTCGATCCCCCTTCCTCGCGGGAAATATTTAGCCGCTCATCATCTGGACTGCGTAGGAAAAAGCGCACGGGTTACGAATGATGATGGGTTTTGCCGTGTTAATGGGAAATGTTTCTACTACCGGTAACTTCCACCGAGAGCAGCGCGCTCAGCATTCACGGAGCTAAACTACCCGCACCCTGCCTGGCGAGGGACAAAATTCCTTCGGAGGCTGACGAGACGCTTCCAAATCTTAGAGGAAATGTCTGTGTAACTTGAAAAAAAAAATGGCCAAAGAATGTTTATCTACATCCAAAAACTTGTGAAACTGGCGAGCTTCTTGTTTTCCTATTGATTGAAAAGAGCATTGGACCATAGTCTTGTTTGTTGTCCGGGTTAGAGGCTCTTTGTTAGAATTAAAAGTGATTTATTTTAATTGGACCTAGCTGGTGTCATCTGGTGCCCTTCTAATATGAGTAGGAGCCACTGCTGCCAGTAAGCATCCACAAAGCATGTCTTTATCTTTTTATACTTAGATATTCAGGTATTGGTGTTGGAACTTTGGTGCACTGTGGTTTAAATAAATGTATTCATTCTGGCATACAGTTATTTAAAAATGAATTTCTTTCACGCCCTTTAGTTCACAAGCAGTTCTGTGCTCTGCCTTTCTCCATAGTGGCTTTCATGGAGCATTCATTTTTAAGGACTTATAAAAAGATTTCATAGAGGAAAAGCACCCTGAGAGAAGAAAATATCTCAGTTTAAAGCAGTGCTTAACTTAGGTTAGGAGTCAATGAAGAGTGCAAAGGCTGAAAGGAACTTCTATTCAACACAAGTTGCTGGGGATTCACGATGGTGAATGAAATGCTGATCTACTGCAGTGTGGTGGGAAAAAGTGGTAGAATTTGTTGCTTCTTATGTAGGTGTCTGTCATTCTGATTGAGAATATGAATGATGTTCATATAGCACCTGTTGGTGTGGTATTTTTGGAAGGGAAGGTGGACTAGGGAGGAGTCTTGGAGATACCCCCACTTCATTTAGAAACATGCTGGACTTTTAAGTGTTGGGTATCTGTTTGAAGGCAGGGATCTGTTAGAAGTCTGGTGCTCAAAAATAAAATCTCCAGTTATGTAAATTCCATTTTTTTTTTGAAAATGGAGCTGATTCATGGTGCCTTTGCTGTGGCACCAGAAGAAAAAAACCAAACCAACCTAACATCTAAATCATTAAATGTTTTTAAATATAAAAGTTGTTAGGCCTAACACCCAGAAGGGCAGCTTAATATGGTAAGCATCAGCACAGTCAGAAATCATCAGGGTGGGATTGTCACCACTGATGGGAATGCTCCTTTTTTCATTGTGAGACCAGGAAGTTGGTTCTCATGAGTACTTCAAAATCCTGTTCCCAACTGACACTGGGATAACAAGTTGGGAGAAGAATATTTTTATACTTCCCTTCATTCTAGTGTGCTATGTGCAATTGTGCTTGTAATTTGTGTGTGCATCCTAGAGGTCAATAATGAATCTCTTAAAAGTATATGCAGCCTTCTTCCACTTTTCTGAAGAAGCTCCTCTTAAGAGTCAGAGTTATTGTTTGGTTTTGTGTGTCAAGTTTTTTTCTTTCTTCTTGTGACTTTTATATACCCAAGGAAGAGCTGTGATTTCAGTTTTCTCATGTCAATTGGGTCTGTACACTGCAGTGGGAAGTAGTTCAAATAATTTAACTTTAGACAGTGATATTTTGGGCATTGAAGGCTTGCCCAGTGAGTTTAGCACTATGTGAGTCTGCAAAAATGTGATTGATCAAATCTGATGCTGATAGGGCTCCTACCCATCTAAAATTGTTTAATATTTTAATATGCTCTCAAGAATTTGAAGGTATTCAGGAAACTCTTGCTCTTCATTGCTTGTGGGCCTGATACCTAACATCCTACTCATCATGAGAGCTGTCTTGTTTTCTGTAGCCTTGTCTGTGCACTGGTGTGTGTGAACATATTTGTGTGTGTGTATGTATATATATATATAGTCACCAATTCATGTTAAGATGGTATCTCTCATAGCCACATCTTCCACGTTTCAAGTCTCTGTTGTCCAAGAAGACAAAGGCACCTGTCTTTATTACCTACCTTAAGCCTGTAGGTTTCCATTAAACTGGTTCAGGGTTTGGTGATTCTTTCAGGCTTCATATGAGCCAAATATGCATGCAGAATGAAAAAAAGGGAGGTGAGATATTTGGTATGAAATCTTAAATCGGATAAACACTAATAGTCAGGCTGCTGCACACAGGAATTACAACTGGGAACCGGGTGTTCAGCCGCCACTACATGCTGTGCTGCTGTCCGAGTTTCTCTACTCCCTCGGGCAGGGAGGAGGACGCACCGGCTGAGCTGAAGGCACGGCAGCCGACAGCCGGGGGGGGGGGCACTCCCTAGATGCGCCGGGGCGTCCCGGGAGCGCCTCAGCAAGGGGCAGCAGGGAGCAGCAGGCAGGCGAAGTAGGAGAATGAAGAGAGGGACCCTTCCCGGGGGTAAAATACAGAGCCTTTTATTACTGCAGTGCACCAGCCGGCAAGGACCACGAGTCAGGAAAACAGCAGCTTATAGAGGGGGTGGGAACACGACACATTGACCAATGAGGGAGAACTGGGGAGTGAACAAACTTGTGAGAAACATGCCGGCTAGCCAGTAGGGAATGTGACAGGGAGGGACCTTTGTTCCCGATCCAATCACCCACCGAAGAAAGGAGAACTTTCTGGAATATGGGAAGGAGACAGTGGGTGATGGACAGGAACTTGGGGAGGGATTGACAGAAGGTAACCAGGGAAACAGGGGAGGAGAGAACGAATTGACACTCTCAGAGAGAGAGGTTCCAGGGGAGGGGGAAGGGGGATCCCAGGACCGAACCATTATAGCTTTAGGGGGTAACAGAACACACCAAATGAATCCTGCAACACAACAACTACAGTAGTGGAGCCGGTCAGTGCCTTTGATGTTTTCTACAATACTTCATTGCAATGATGGTTCTTTGCACATTTTCTTGTCTCAAGAAGTGTTTCTCAACAGAGATGTGCTGAGATTATTGTATTTCTGAAAATGTCTGTTTTTCCTTCCTTAAGTGGGTTTTATGGCTGTAAATCTTGACCGGTTTACTCAGTTACCCGTCATTGCAATTTTCAGCAAGAAACCAAGTGTCTGATTGCATTTAGAGCAGGAACAAGCTGAAGTGCTTCTGCTCTCTGGATATAATCATGGAACTTGGAGTAAGGACTCAAAAAACAACCAAGAAACAACCCAGACAGTTAAAAAAGAAAAAAAACCCATTTTTTTTCCAAATAAAAGGTGGTAATAATTTGAAATCTCTGATTCTCCTTTTTTAAAATGAATAAGATGTTACTTTAGACTCTCCTTCTTTCCCTCCTTATGCCCTCTTCTTGCAGACACCCTCAAATCTCTCAGCAAGTCCAGGGTGACCGTTTCATCTTTTCTGGCAAAATAATCTGGCATGAAAAAAGTAATGAAGTCAGTTTAGTTGCATGGTGTCCTGCTGTGAGTTTTACAATAAAGAATGAGTCTGGTTTCTGCGCTGTTGCATCATTCCTTCAGCAGGAATCACTGCTGATGTACTATAGGACGATGCTTAATGTGCTTGACATCTCTCCAGCCATTGGTCAGCTCTGCACTTTTGCTCACTGTTCCCTTTTGTTAAATGCAACACTTAATTTCCAAATTTGTATGTCCTGAGGGTGAACCAGGGAAGTGATCATTAGTGTTCTTCAGGAAGTAATTTTAAAGAGGTGTGAACTTCTCTGTGGCCAAGAAAGCTTCTTGTCATCCAATAAAATTGGCTGCTGCAACTCCTTCAGTGGCATTGTTTCCAGCCATGCAGCTGCATAATTTTCGCAATACAGATGAAGATGTTTGTTGTTGATCATATGAGTATGAGTGCAAGAAGAGAAAGTTAAGTGGCCTTTCTGCTCCCTATTTTGGTTTAAACCCCAATGGTTTTTTTTCAGAGCCAGTGGGATGAGGCTGTTGCTTACAGATTTCTGTACACCTCAAGGAAAAAGGCTGAAATGGCTCCAAACTCCCTTCCTCCTGTTCTTAGTGATCTTCCTTTCTCCATAGAAAGTAACTTCTTTCTCTTAATGGGGTTTCCCCTTCAAGGTATCTTGATGCAGCTACTCACTAATATTCTAGGGGCTTCCCATGGAATAGTATGGTTGTGGTGAGAACCTGCACTCATCAATAATCTCTGCAGAGAGTATTACTCACACAGTAAGCCTTTTGGCAAAATGCTGGAGAACTGCTGGTACCTGCTTGCCGACTGTCCAAATAGTCATATAGTAGCATTGGAAATGTGTACTGCAAAAATCAGTAATTTCAAATAAATGCTGGTTAAAGTATTTGGAATATATTGAAAAGTTTTACTTCTTCTATCTGTATTTATATCTTCTGTGTTTATGCCAGACAAGACTCCACAGCACTGAAATAAGAGAAGACTATTAGATTCTAAGACTTTGTTTTGAAGTGTGTTTCTGATTTGATATAGTAGCACAGAAAAACCACTTCCTCTGATTGCAGTGCTGTTTCATAAACATTGCAAAATATTTCAAAAGTGTTTTAAATATGTAGAGGAGATACAAACAGGTGTTTTTTTTTGCTCCAGGAGTCCCAAAGTATTTAGATGGAAATGAGTTGTCTATCCAGGTCTGCTTAAAAGTCTCATGACAGTTAAATGTGTGACTTCCTTACAACAGTTAAGGCATTACATACATAAGCTAGTGAAAGAGTAAGCAAGTCTTTTTGTTGACAAAGGAAATATTTCAGTCTTGAACCTTTGAATAAAATGAAAGTAATTATTATGTGACAAATACCAACCAAAAAGCATGTGAACCAACAGAAAACCTCCTGTTTCCCTGAAGGTAACCATCTTAGGGCATGGGTGAACGTGGGTCATGCTAGATGAAGCAGTGGCTCTGCAAAGGTTTCAACTGCTGAGTTTTAGGTGTAAGAGTGAGAGAATGAGACAAGATCCTAAGATGACATAGTATGTGCTGTATGTGAAATACCAAATTTGAATGCATGGACATTCAAGACAATCCAAAATAAATTTGCCATCGGCACACATCACTGGCTGCTTCTTTCTGCTCAGTCCACATGAAGAAATGGCAATGTACGCTTTCTTTTTGAAAGGTATAACTGCTCAAGATAGCAGCATTATCTGTACCAGTAGTGTACTCAAATTGTTAATTATCAATTTTTCCATTCATCTTTATAGAGATGAAAATGCTTTGTAATTTAGGCTTCATTGTCTCACCCAACGTATCTTGTGCACTAATTGCTAAATCATATTTATTTTTCTTAGGTTAGAGCAGAACCTGTTTTAAACTGAAGTTCAGTGTGACCTGTGTTATCTCACTGTTATAACAGTTCATAGAAACATGGTGTTTCCTTTTGCACTTCGAACCTGTAACTCTTTAAGCTAGTAATGTTTATTTTTGTTAGATCTCATGACTGTCAATAAGTGAATGTTATGCATTCATTGCCTCTGTAAATGAAATGACTGGCATTTGATTTTATATCTGCTGCCTGCCTAGTAGGATTTCCATTTAGAGCTATTTTACAGGCTCCTTTGCGCTTGCTCCCCAAGTGTGCAGCCTTTGTAGGTTTTAGCAGTTTAAGTATTTTGGACATTAAAATTCTCCTCACTTGAGAAAACATATGTGTTACAGAGTGCAAGAGAAATTCCATCACAATGATCCAAATGAAACAGTTTAGCTTATAAAACCTCAGAGAAAATGGTCACTCAACATAGGCGTTTCTCACATTTTTGTAAATGTGTCAGGTGTTTTTTTACCACAGAACAGTTTTGTTGCATCCAACATCCAAGGCAGTGTATCAGGAGTGGAGATGTGCTCCTGTTGTGTATAGATGAGGCTCTGATGCAGGAGAAGCTCTTTTGGATGACTCAGGTTGGCCCTGGACAAGTGTAAATCTTGTGCCTTGGGTCTCCTTGCTTACTAGGATGGTGATGAGGAGTGGTGACTGGTATGGAGCTTTAGATTGGAGGATGAGGGAAAAGTTAAGAACAGGGAAAACATCCCTGTGGGGATTGGTGGGGGTTGGTGCTGGGCTGTCCATCTGTGAGAGTTACATATGCAGACTGACTTTGCACCAATAGCTCTTTAGTGGCTAAACCAAGAGCAGTGTCTCCTTGGTTAGCTGCTGCCTCCCAGGTAGTAGCCTGAGTCTGCACAGGGGACTTCTGGAGCTGTAGCCCTTTAGAGATGGTTGCCCTTATTCCAGCCCTGGGTTTAACTTTGGTGAGGATTTTTTTACATTCAGGAGATCTGTCATGTGTGACAGTACAAGAGAATTGCAGAACTTGCTTGTTACTTAGCAACTTGGTGCTCCCCACTGCCTTCCTCAGAGCTGCCCTCCCCCTGCTTAACCTCGTTCTTCCTACTCACCTGCCCAAGTCTGGGGTCACAACTTCTTGAGAAAGATTGTCCTTTTATGTTGCCATCTTATTGCAAAGGTTTACATACCTTCTTGGTGATCTCTCATGGGCAGCTCCTCACAGCACTTACTCCTTCTTCTCAGCACAGCCAACAAACTCCATCTTCCTCGACCAGCCACCTACTCTTTTACAGTACCTGTCCTAATTGGATCTGGCTGTGGCCTATTAAGGGCAGGCCTGTTCCTAATTCTTGATAATTAGCACAGCTGTAACTCCTTAGGGGTGAGATTACCTTCATCACTATCTCTATTTTCCTACATTCCACCCATCCACACTTTTAATGAGGAGACAGTGAAATACTTGTACTTCAATACTTGTTCTTCCCCTGTAATCTTCCTCAAAAAGCATCCCTTAGGGCATGAGAAGATAGAAGCCTGGTTGTTAAAAGAGTTTAACTAGATCCTAGCACAAGTGATTAAAAGGTGCTGACCATCTTTCTTTTGAGGGTAATCGAAATGGTCAGAGCAGGCCACTCGTGCTTCCCAGAAACACTAGATCTTATGTGGGGTCCAGGTAGAATCTTCACAGCCTTAAGGATAAATGTTGGTTGATAGCAGTGTATGTGGAAGACATATGTTTGTATTGTTGGTTTGATTTCTTGCTGTTGTTTATTCAAGATGTAATTGTATAGAATGTTCTGAGAATTGGGTGTCTCCACCTTCTAAACAAGCTTACAAATCTTGTGCTGCCTGGCAAGACTGCAGCCAGCAGGAGGTTCACATTTTATCCGCTTGTGTGTGTATCAGTTCTGGATTGATGTAGCCAAAACTGAGGAAAAATGGATGCAGATGCTGTTGTGCTCCTAATGGTATCCTAAAAGCTTTTGGGAGGTGTGTGGTGAGGGTGTGTCACTTTAAATGTGGTACAATCCTAATGGAAATTGTATTTGTTAAAAATAGTTGTGGCTTCACTGTGGAGTAGCACAAAGGCTTCACTGTCTTTATTGTGTGTGATGTTTTCAGTTTGTGAATTGGTGTCATTGTTTTACAAGGTTGCTGAGAAAAGTATTTTTGCTAGCGAAGCTCTGGCAATGTGAGCCTTGGTGGTGTTTGTCAATTTTTTTCATTTCCTCCTGAAATTAATCACTTGTTGCTATGTTTCTGGTTTCCAGGGTCTTGGTTGGTGCACCCAAGGCAGAATCTAAATACAGCACCTCTGTTCAGTCCCCAGGAGCAGTGTTTAAATGTCGAGTCCATACCAACCCTGACAGAAGATGCACAGAACTGGATATGGGGAGAGGTGGGTAGTTATGATGTTGGCACAGCAGGAGGCAACCAAAAAAATCGAAACTGCATGGCCAGAAGTCCATCTTCCAACTTCAAATTGGCCCCAAAATATTGAGAGGCAGCTGTCAGCCTTTCCTGATGGATTTTGAACACTGTTAACAAAAGTGTCATATTCTTTTTGGCATTACAAAATAACATCCTGCTGGTGCTAGTGTCCTCTCAATGACCTTGCTTGCTCTTTCCAGGGAGTAACCACATAATGTGGATTTTTCCCTGCTAAACCTGAGCTTCTGTCTTTTTTTCACCTGCTTCAGTGTGACTTTTTATCATGTTGGTGACTATGTACATGTTTTGGCATGCTGCTGCCTGCTCCAGGAAGTGCTGAAGTCAAAGTGCATGAGATGACGCCAGGCAATGCAGTGATGGGCTCACGATTTGTGGTGTTATTGGTAATGTGGTAATCTATGGGTTCCCTCATAATACAGCAAATAATTTCTTGAGTTTACTTTTTGTACTAAAGTGGTCTCAGTGAGACCTCTTGTATGCCATTGCATGGGGTTAGGGTTGACTTCAGTTACTGTGATGAACTGTCTGAGGCAGGGGAAGGTGGAGGCCTAAAGTAAAATTATGATCTAAAACTTCCTGCTGGATAATCATGGTAAAGAATGAAGCATTTTAATAGTTTGGTTTTCTTGGTGACATTGCTTTTTCTGCCTTTATAAAATATGGCATTGTTCATCTTTTCATACTTACACTAAGTAGAATTTCTGTTTATGAAGTTTACATGTGTTAAGACAGCATTTTGACTAAGTGGTTTATCCTCTACCAGATTGTAAGTTGTCATGGATTCATGAGTACTTCCTGACAGGACTACAGATTTCAGCCTTATTTTTTTTTAAGTACCCCTGATCTCACTTTCAAGATTGCATTCAGGAGGCAATCTGATACCTCTCCCATTGACTTAATGGTTTGATGGTTCATTTAAGATGGCTGTGAACATTGTGTGATAGCTGCTGGCTGTTAGGAGCAGGGTCTGTCCTCAGCTGTTTATATGTATGGTGTCACTTAAGAGTGAGAACATTGCCCCAGTTAATGCATTCACAAACTAATAAATAATCAGGATGCAGGGGGAGAGAAAAGCATTGTCAAATGTTTGATGGGAAATCTCTTTTTTTGTCAGGATTCTTTGGTAGGTATTTAAAATTCATGTCTTCTTGCCTTGCTGCCTTTCCCTTTTTTTCTGTAGGCAATTCTCGGGGCATGCTCTGTGGAAAGACCTGTAAGGAAGACAGAGATGATGAATGGATGGGTGTGAGCCTAGCTAGACAGCCAAAGGCTGGTGGAAGTGTGCTGGTAAGTCCATACTATTCTTTGATCTTGTTGAAAATGTAGCTGCTGCCTGACTAAGCACATCAGGATTGTATTGGGCAGTGACTGACGGAGTCCAGAGTAAGAGGCAGCAGATTCTGTAGTCCCTTTCTTCAAGCAGTGTTGTAGTGTGTTTTTTGTTATATTAGTATGTTTATTGTTTGATTTTTAATTTTGTAGTTTCCTTATGCTGCTCCTTTTGTCCCTGCTCTTTTTCCAGAATCTTTTTACTTCTCCTTTCATTAAATGCCAGTCTCTTCCCCAACCTGCCTTCTTTCGAGAAATTTCCCTGTCAGTTTTGTATTTCTCCAAATTTTACTAGCTCACTGAAAATGTTCTCGTCCCTTGAAATTTTTTTTGTTTTATACATTGTATTCCCCACCTTGTTTTTCACTCCCAATTCTCCTGATTTGCTAAAGATTGTCTCCTCCCCTTGGGACTTGCCCCCCGTATATAAGTCATTGTCTGCCCCCAGTTTGGGGTCCTGGGATGCTGAAGAGGGGAAGTTTGACCATCGAATAAAGTTACCCCGGGACCCGTGGTGCTGCTCTTTGTTTATGCTGTGCTGTCACTGGTAGCTGGGATTCAACGTGGCTCAAAGGGGGGATTTGCCGCCTTCCCTGTCACCATCTAGCCGGGACAAGTGGCAAAGCAGAAGTGATCCCCAGCCAGAGGACGTGATTGATAGAGGGAGGATTCCAAGCCATCACACCTGACTTGTGTCAGCCAAGGACTTGCTCCTAAATCTTAGGGTTTATAGCTTTGAACTAAATAAATACAATTTGTCTGGGAGGTATTCTGCTAATTTGTTCTTTTTGTAGTTTGCCTGTGTTTATGTAGGAAATATGAAAGCATACATTTTCCTTGAGCATATGAATTGCATCTCAAAACTTACAAGGAAAAATGTAAATTGCTCTTTGTGGCCATATTTTTCATTTATCTGTATTAATTTCCTGTTGACAAAGTAGAAGAGTTGCAAATAGAGATGTCTTAACTGTGTGTGGATTGACTTACTGATTTCAGTGTGGTTACTATGCACATAGACAGGACAAGGAGAGCAGATGTAATCTTTAAGATGTGCAATATTTCTTCACAAAACTTTTCCTGTCATATTGTAAAGAGTCCTGGGCAAAACCCTTTCTAGAATGCATGGGGATTTTACATTTATTGCCTGTACATACATCCATGGTTGGATTCTGTCTACCTGAGTGAGCGTGTCTGCAGGGAAGTTAACAGAAATAAAAAGAAATATGCAACAAAATGTTGTGTGTATTATATGTGGCAGGCAAATATCAAGGTTTTATCAGGGTAACCTTGACAGCAGTCTAATTCTAAACAGCACTATTTGTGAATAGGAAACTTTCAGTTGGCCTCATCTTTCCAATGATATAAAGAACTGCCCTTGTATGTAACATCAAACTGTCAAAAAGCTGGTAGTGAGAAAGAACTTGTGCAGTGATTACTGTACCAATCAACTGTAAAAGGCAAGAGGATAAACCTCCTTCCCTCAAAGATTTTTTTTTAATATGTGCTTAGGGTATAGGTTCTTATGCCCCAAATCCTTGTGCACCGACTTCCCCGTGGGAGAGCAGGTAGGTTTGATACCTTTCTGTCACAGAATTGTGATATTTTTTCGCCTCATCTCTCTTGGTATATACCTTGTTAGTGTGATAGGGGCTACCTTTACTTTTCTTGGATGGTTTAAACATGTTCAGGACTAAAGGAGGAGGGGAGAAAGAGGGGCATAAATAAAATACACTGTGAACATATACAACAGAGGCCAAAATTAAGGCATTCATGGTAGTGTAAGCAATTAATATTTTCAGGGTGTATCCTGAGCTGCAGGGAGTCAGTTGTGTGTGACAACTTGCACAGTTGTGTGAGGATTAGCTTGCATTTATCAGGGTAACACTACCCTTGAGAGACATCCTTTTCATTGTTGAGTCATCAGGCTGGCATTCATCCTAATTAATTTTTAGAAGGTTGTTAATAAATTTTTTCAGGCAACTCTTAATTTCTTGTCAAAACTACATTTTAAGAATAGCAGGTTTGTGTATTTTGGTTCCAAGGGAAGCGAGTAGCAGCTGATGCTTAGGGGTCATCTCCCTAAAGAGAAGCAGTAATTGAAGGGAATGCTGATGGGGCAGAAAGCCAAGCAGCTGCCAAGCTGGGTGCTGGCTGGCTGAATGGAGGGTACCAGGGTGAGAGACATGGGTGGTCTTAGGGCTGGGAGGGTAGAAATTTCACACATAAAGCAGGTTAAAAGTGAAATATAGGTAAAGTAAAATACACAGCTGGCAGTATGCGTATTTCAGTGCAGCTTAGGCTGGTAAAATGTCTCCGCAAGTGACACTGATCTAAAACAGTCCTAATTCAGGCCTCTGACAAGATTATGCTGCCCTTCACCACACAGACCATGTTGAGATGCCGGGGAATATTTAATTATATAATTCTCATTATTATTTATCACCAAAGTCTTAAACTACTAATTATATGTCTGTGCACATCTGTGTGTAAACAGAGCCTGAAATGAATGCATACAGATTCCTTTGTGGAAGGAAATTACCCGGATGTTTCAGGTCATTGTTGCTCTCTGTTTTGAGAACTTTTTACTGAAAAAGATTTGTGATTTTCCCACAGATGGTCTTCCATACATGCGCTCTTCTAATTTTAGGGACTAGCATTTCTTTAAAATGTAACTTTTCTTTGAGGCCCATTTGAAAAACTGGTTTTCTGAGAAGATGTGTCTGAATATGTGTTCCTAGCTGTATTTGCCTTTTTTTTTTTAATTGCTAGATAACTTGAGTGTGTTTCTTTAGTTAGGAGTGTGTAGAGTATATATTGTCAGATATTAAACTCTATTTACATCTCCCCCAGGAATTCCTTTAAGTCAAAGTAATACCTTTCTGGTCAGTAGCCCTGGGTGGACTTTTTTCCCCCATAAACAAGTGTAGTTGCCTGTGTGAAATATTCATGCTCTTGGCATCCTGTGTTAAATTAACTAGTCACACAGTTTATTTGTGGGTTTTATAAAGAAGTGTATGCTTTTGCTTTGTGCTTAGCTGCTTAGTGGCCTAAATTTTTTCTTATCAGCCTTTCCCAGTTTCCTGTAAGAGTGTCAGCTAGGGAAGGTGAGGAGCATGCCAGAGGGCTTTAGTTGGTGTTTGGTAAAAGGGAGATTGTGTTTGAGCCCATATTGTGCCAGGATGTTACTAAACCAGAATTTGGTGTTTGTGTGATTGATTAAATAGTAAAGCATCAAACAATGAGGATATAAACAAATGTAGGAGTAAGATTGAATGAGAAAGTATAGCCAAGGACAAGAAACTATCAGTCTGCATTAATCTCAGTACTGCAATAATACATCTGAGATTGCCCATTCTTTCCAAACTGAAACAGTAAAATTCCTCCTTTTACTGTTGTTGGGAGAGGAACCAGGGGCATTGCATTGTGACTGGGAGACAAGCCACATCCTTCAGTCTTGCTCTTCCTAAATACCTGCCACTTCTGTCATTGTGTTGCTCTTCCTGTGGAACAGAGCTGGTGGCTGCAACAATATGCAAAAAAGCCAAGTGTCAGCAGTTCTGAAATGGCCTATTCATTATACTGCAGTACTGCAGTGTCAGCCATCAATAGATATCACATCTTGCTTTGCTCAGAAGCATTTTATTTTGCTTCAAGCGTTTGTATAATTTCTCCCCTGTTCTGTGGTAGAGCTGGAACCTGTACCCCAGCAGCAGCTGCTGAGCACCAAAGTATGCTAATGGTTTCCTTATTGCACAGGGACTTATCTATAACTTGCATCTAAAATAGGGTGCATAGATTGTCAGTTGTTTGGAATTGCCTCAAATTCAGGTGACTCACTTCTGTTCCAAAGACCTGTTCAGACATGTGCTGCTGCTGCCAGAGAAGGAAGCATGTAGCCACATCACCTTGCCTTGGCAATGTTGAATGATACAGTGACAGTGAACTGTAATCAACTCTAAATGCTTTTGAGAAGACAGAAAAAACAAAACCAGATGCATTGTGTTAGGGAAACAAATGTTATCTGGCTGCAGAGAAATGAGTTTTGAGGAGGAAGAGGAGCTGCTGGACTCCTGTCCATTGTAAAAATGTCAAATTCTGTAGCAGTGGCACAGGGAAGTCTGTAACCAAGGAGAGCTCATCCCTTGAAGGTTTGCGGACTAAGGCAGTCAGTGGTGAACTATAGTGTGCCTGAATACACATCATGATGAAGGTACAGAAAAGTGGTCATTAACCCAAGACTTAACAGATTCGTTTGTGTCCAGAATTGCTAGACTGAGCCCATAGCCTCCAGTTGATTTTGAACATACTTCTTACCCAGCAGAAGCTTTTTCTCTCCTTATATTCTTTTGTATTTCTTGGCTTCTGCAGCTCACTCCTGAGCAAAGCCACCTGCTTGTGATGAAATGCTGCTATTGTCCCTGACTTCATTGTTTGTACTCTTCTGAGAGAGATTAATTAGTAGGTTAATTTATGTCAGTGTCTTGCAGTCTCTGAAATATAAAATTATAATACCACAATCCTTTATCTTTGCAAAATTTTAAAAAATACTCATGGTCTGTTTCCATTTGAATTTATATCCAGTGTTGGGATTGATGATGCTGTTGCTGTAACGGTATGTGTATTTATGGCATTGTCTTTGCAATGGTTATGCATGTGTATATTTGTGCTTACAGATCCATCAGGACAGAAGCTATTTCCTGGTTTTGCTGAACATGAGTGTTTCACATGTTGGTTATCTGTTGCTGTTGAATTTTGAATGGGTAGTGCGTGGGGATGGAAATCATAACTGAGCCTCCTCAAAGTGCATACAGGAGTCTCCAAAGCTGCTCTTTATTGTACTTCTCACATGCATTTGGGTGTGGAGCCGAGTGTCCTCAGAAGGATTCTTTGCATCACAGGTTGCAGCCTGCAGCATGCAGTGTGGTGCAAAACTTTCTGCAGCCCCCAGAGCCCCTCACTGTCCCTCTGTGATAGCCGTATGTACAAATACGTGCCTCTCTGAGCACAGGTAATTAAGAAAGCAATAAATATCAAATGTAGTACTACTAACAGTATAGCAGGTTTTGTACAGCTGATTTTGCTCTTTGAGAGTAGCATTACCTATTTATATATTTCTGGACATAAGTATATTGAAATCTGTTGGTGGCTGGATTGAATTTTGAGCTTCTCAGTGGCTGATACACATCCCATGTTCTTTAGTGGGGAGGTGACACAGCTGTGCGTGCGTTATGAGTGGATATATTTTTAACAGTGTTGAGATGTTCCTATGGGCAGCTCTGTGGTGCTGAAGCAGAAAAGTGGGGTAGCACACAGAAATGGAAGACAGCTTATCTCATCTGGGGAGGATGGAGTCAAATATGGGATTCATGAAGGTGGTTGATGCAAAGCATCCAGGAAAAGCTGGAGGCATGTGGAGGAGATGATTTGTAGCATAGAGGCTTGTCTATTAGCATGGAGTTAAACCTTAAATTATATAAATTGACAAATCTACAGTGACTTAAGTGTAGACTCAGACCAGCTGGAGATAAGATCTGGCATGTGCTAAGTTCAAAGCTATTGCTGTTTAACGTTCCTTTTCTTTTATTCCAAATAAATCTTGAGCAGAAACCGAATTGTGGTCTCTGTCTCTCTGGGTGCCTCCCAGTGAACCCCGGCCAGCCCCGGGTCGGCAAACAGCGGAGGAGGGGCAGCCCCGAAGTGACCGACAGCAGGGGGACACTCTCTGGTGCCCCGAGGGTACTGAGGGCAGCTAGGCTGGTCGCCTTTGCATCAGAAGAGATGCTGGAGACATCGGTGGAGGGTAAAAGGTCGACTCTCAGCAGGGGGCCAGTCCAAGGTTTATTCGGAGCTCCCCAGAGGGCCCCACTCCTCAGGGGGCGCCGTGCTCAGAGTCCAACAAAGGAATCTCAAGGTTACATTTAAAGGGGGGGAGGAAACCGAGGGTAGATACATTTGCTGACCAATAAAGACCCTCCAGGGATACAGCCTTAGGGGATGGACATTTGGGATAGCGTATAACATCATCCTTGGGGGGCTGACCCCTGGCTTCGGGCTAATCACTCGACGGCTTTGACCAAAAGATCTGGATAGAAGGGATGGGATGCTGAGTGACTGACAGAGAGCCTGGGCGGGGATTTGGGGGATGATCTCAACACAGGAGAATGGTTACACAGGTAGAGGAAGGGAGTACAAAAAGGGGTACATCAACTGGGGAGAATAAGGGGATACAAAATCAAAACTATTACAAAGTATAAAAGCACACTATAACAGGCTGGCAGCAATACAGTGTTAGTTTTTGGAGCAAATGGGTTCTGAGAAGTTGTGAACCCGGCTCTACATTGCTTGCATGTGTGCCTTGTGTGCTGTGTGTGGCAGTTGTACTGAGCAAGTGTCTGGTGAATCTTGTTTTTCAGGATGATCTCATTCTTCACTATAAAGCTCTGCAGCTTGTCTGCACCTTGGCTAGTGTTGCCACTGTTGTTGCTACAAAATCCTTGGCATTTGCAATTAAATTCACAACCAGTAAGCAAGGCTCAGCACATCTGTCACCAGAACACAGAGCTGCCTTTCCCAGTGGAAACCATCCTTTGACTCACACAAGCATTTATTGGTGGTATAACCTTCTGAGTATTCTCAGTGTCTTTATTCCTGTTTTTCACCTTTTGTTGGGTTGCATCTTTAGTTAGAAAAGCTTTGCTGTCTGCAAGGATTTATGCACAGTCAGAGATTTTGTAATTTCCAGCATAGGCTCTGAGACTTCTTGTTTTCCTAGTTATATACATTTGAAGGCTGAGATCTGAGCTGCCAGGTTAGACAAGGTCCTGAGCTGCAGAAGGTAACAATGAGAAGATACTTTAGAAACAGTGGAATGTAAGGAGAGTACCATGGATTTGTGGGGTGAAGTGGTCCTGTTCATGCATGCTCTGCCTTGGTCAGAGTGATCTCCTGTGACTCTGGGCCAGTAACCCATGTTATGTGATCTTTTTAGGCATGTGCACACCGCTGGAAAAACATCTACTATGAGACAGAGTATATCTTGCCCCATGGCTTCTGCAACATCATTCCTCCTGACCTGCAGTCCAAAGGGAGGAAGCTCTTGCCCTGCTATGAAGGTAAGGAGTCAGGCCAGGAGTGGAGCTTATAATGTCTCTTGCTATGCTTCTAATAATACAGCAACCTTCACTACTGATTTTATTTTTTAACATGTGACTGCCTTGTGGCCTAGCTGTGGTGGCAGTTGGGTTTTGGATGAAGTTGGGAGAACAGCACAATGACTGGATTCTGTGGCATGGTTGCACTTTACTGGAGGAATGAAAAGTTTCTGAATTGTGTTTTGAGGCAGCAGCTCTCCCCTTAGGTAAATAATGAGAAGATATTGCTATGAGCTTGGCCTTTTGTCCTTCACTGTGACATGGAATAAAAATCCTGAATTATGTTGCAGTCACAAACGAATTTGCCTATTTTGTGGAAACACTTCCATTTTTATATTGCTGTTTATCAGAGGATTGGGATGTGGGACAGGGAGAAGGGTTACTTTCCTCACTTCGGGGTACTTCTGCAACAATTTATATTAAATTGCTGCTGTGTTAAGATCTGGGTTTGAGGTGGATACAGAGGGAGGGCTCCACCTCTGAGCCATGGATGGCTGTGCCTTTTGGTTCTGCACCAAGTTCCATGTGCCATAATTTTAATTTCTCCTTACCATTTTTTAAAGACTTCAGAAGACAGAGTCTCTTTGGCCAAAAACAATTAACTGAAAAAGAGGCACAAATGTATTGTTAGGTAGAAGAGAGTATCTCCTAAGATTCTTGGCCTTGAGAGGAATGTTTTGGGGAAAGCACCCTTGCTTCCTCCTTTCTTTCATTTCTTCATTGTAGAAGCCTGAGGAAGTGGGCAAATTTGGAGGACAACATACAGCAGGGTTTGTTGTGGACAAGACCTCTGATTTTACTTATTTGCTTTTAACTAGTTGCCCTCCTGTCCATAGCTGGCAGCAGCCAGCAGCAGGCTTGGTGCTGGCATTAGTAAGTTGGAGAGGGATAAGGCAGTGAATGTCCTGTTTCTCTGTTGCTATTGAATGGCAAGTTTCTCTGTTGCTATTGAGTGGCCAGGTCCTAGCTCGGTGGTCTGTAAAGCCAGGTTTGTGACAGAACTGTGTCCATTTCATGCTCACAGTTCTGAGGTGGCTCCTCACCTCCCTCTGGGCTTTGCTTAGGAATCTGCCATTGCAAACCTACACACCTTTTGGAGATGGCAGACACTTGTGCATTGATGTTTTCCTGCCCTGAAATTGGTCATTATTTGATATGTCAGAAGTTTTGAGGGACTTGGACCAGCCATGCTAGCTGCTGTGCAGCAGAGTACATATAAGCTATATAAGCTTTCCTGTTGTGGGTACTGTATTTGTCCTTTCCTGCCTCTGTGCCCTCTTTGTTAGTGTCAGTAAAATCAGGATAAGGCCTCACACTGATGTTGTACACTGCAAATCATCTGATATTAACTTTATGGACATTGTGCACGTGCAGGAATGCCAATGGCACTCCCTTTGAGCCTTTTTTACTGCTCCTGCACTGCCTGAAGCCATGGTGGGGATGTGGTTTCTGTAAGAGAAGAATCACTTGTGTTTATGTGTCATGTTTTTGGAGTAAAACTGCTGTTAATCTGACGGGATATTTGCCAGGAATTGCTAAAAAATAGAAATGTGTGGGCCTAGTACACGTAGAGCAGCCAGTGGAAAGTTGGCAGGGTTGATGCAGTACTATGCTGACTTAATTAATTGCATAGTAAAGTGAAAATTGAATGTTTGGGACTGATTCCCACCCAGCCCCCCACTCCATCAAACATGAAATCACAGTGTCACAAGGAATGGCTGCATTTGTGTACTCCTGATTCTTTACATTTCAATAAAACAAGCTCCAAGAGAGATAGCTATGGTGTATCACACAGAGCAGTTAATTGTTTAAGGTTTGCTGAGAAATAAGTTTGCAGTCATCCATGTAACTTTTTTCCCTTCACTTTCTGGAAGGAGCAGAATAATTTTCCTCCACTGACACTGATGAATGGCTAATGCAAAGCATCGAGTCTGAAGTGCTTCTACACTAACAGACTCTGTGGCTATTGCTGGGAGGCTGCCAGACCTGTGGCTGCAAACCCTGCTCTAGGACACATGCCTTTGCCCGACAAGATTCCAGTGTCTCAACCTTCTCTGGATCTTGCCATGTGCAAATAGGGGTAGACAGTAGTGTGCTTGCTTCCAGAAGCCTTGTTTTTAGGGCAGCTAAGGTGATAAGTCTCAACAAGTGAAGGGTGCAGGCCAGCTGAGTGCACATCAGGAGGAAATGGAAATTTCCGGACTAGATGGCACTGGTGCAACGGCATAGTTGCATCAACCATAGTTGCATAGAATCTCAATCCATCTTATTCTTGCCTTGCTTCCCTGAAAGGGCTGACAGAAGTCTGGAATTGAGCAATAATTAGAACACAGCAGCAAACTGAATAGTAAAATACAATCTCTCTGAGTAGGAACTAATCTGGTTTAGATGAGCTCGATGTGGTATAGCTGCTCTATGGGGCCACAGTTTTCCAGGCAATACTTTCAACTGGTTATTTTTCCCATAGTTTTAAGGGCTTTCCAAAAAAGGGAGCTGCTTCTTCATTCCCCCAGTGCATTCGGTTTACAAAGAAGGATGGTTGTGTGTACTGTGAGAGGCAGTCTAGCTGATGAGGAGAGCTGGAATGGTTTCCTGCTCCTCTGTGGTAAGAATTGGTGGTGGAAGTGGGGAAGAGTGATGATCCCTTTGGTTAGTAAGGGGAACAGCACATGATCATATTCCTTGCATCCAAAACAAAAAGTAATTTTTCCCATGGTCCAAACCACATTTGGTTTTCTGGGAGCCATCAAAACATCCCTGCTTTATGGTGGAAACTCAGTATCACAGTGCTAGGTCAGAAAGATTACTACTGTTTCTTCCTAGAGCAGTGAAACACTGTAATACAGGAAACAAAAAGCTTTTAGTGCATATGATAGTTTATATCTTTGAGGATGATAGATTATTTTATTGTACTCTATAGCTTAGTTTATGTTATGGCATTGAAGGTTGCTTAGACTGGCAGAGAGTTTTGTTCAAAGAAAAAGTTCGGGGCATTTACCTTCAGAATTGTCGCACATCAAAGATTATTCTTTTTGCTTGTGTGTTATTTTTTGCAATTACTTCTTCCTCCGTCTCACTTTTCTTGTAACCTGAGATCATCCTGGCTACAAACCACTGCCATCTTCTTCTCTTTTTTCCTGAATGTGTTATTCATGGCACATCTTTGAAGTTGCACAGGCTGCAACCTCCTCCAGACTCAACCTTATCATGCTGCTTTGCTGTCAGCTGTTGCTGCAGGAGTTTCATGGCTTGCGGTCTCTGTAATCAGGAATGCACAGCAGTAGGCAGGGAGACAAAAAAGAATAAAGAAGTGTGGAAACAACAAATTTGCCCTTGACTGCAGTTATTGCCTGGAACTATGTGAAAACAAATAAATTTAACATCATGCACAGGTGGTATGCACAGGCATACAAAAACTGTGAGCTGATACGATAACTGCATAATTTCCATCTAGTTGGTTGCTTTACTTCATGGCTGGCTGGCTATGTTGTATGAGTGACAGGTGTCACTCGCACTGAAGTGGAGGCGAGGTAGAAGCAATCTAGGTTTTCATCCCTTTTGGGCTCATCTATTGCTTGGGAGAGGCAGAGTAGCTCTAGGGATACAGAAGTCTGTGATGCAGGGATATGACCATTTAGGATGAGTGGCACTCCTTGGCCATGGGTGCATGGGTGGAAAAGAATTTTGCTTGGATATGGAGGCAGGTGTACATCACTGCAGATGGGAGTTAGAGGAGCAGATAAGAAGGGGTAGTTTTGTGCTGAAAGGGTTAGGCAGAAATCCAGGAGTCCAGTGTCTGTCTGTACTGGGCTGCTGGTTTGTTGGGGAGGACTATATCTATCTTGATTCCCCCTGAAGTTGGTGTGCTGGTCTCTCGTCTGTGTTGCTAGAGCTTTAAATTCTCAAACAGCCCCGATGTCTGAGGTGTTTGGGCCTCCATGTTTACATTTCCACTTGTGAAATGTCATGGCCTTGGCAGTGAAGACTGAAGCAAACAGAGCCTGAAGACAGGAAGAAAGCAAATGTCACCCCAGACTTCTAAACAGGCAGCCAAAGAAGCCATTCAATATTTCAGCCTTCTCTGCAATTTCTCTTGCAAGGGGTCCCTGTTTCCACTCAGCAGTGGAACCTACATTTTCTTTAGTACCCTTTTGTTGTTGATGTATCTGAAGGAGCCCTTCTTGTTAGCCATGATACCTTTCACCAGATTTAATTCCAAATGGGCTTTGACCTTCCTCATTGCATCATGCAAGGGTGGGGATCCTGCTATAGTGAATGCAGGGCTTTTAGGACATGCACAGAATTATTTTTCAGGAAATGCTGGAGGAAGGAATGAAATGCTGGAGGAATGAAAAAAATGTTCACATTGATAAAAAAATATTTTTCTCCAGGCAAGTACTGCCTGGAGAATCTGTATGTGGAGAGTTAGCAGTTCAGAACCCCAACACTTGCTGAATAGCTATGAGCTAATATGGGCTTCAGTTCTCAGTAGAATTGTCATGCGTTACCACTAGGAGACCCAGCTGTGCTTCTGGTCTGCTGGGATGCATATCACTTTTGGCAGGACCCTGTCTTGGTCAAGAGTGTTGGGCATTTGGACTGTAATTTGTGGATCAAGTCTCTATTCTGCATGTTGTCTCCAAATGAACTTCTCCCTGTGCAACTGGTATGACCTCAGCAAATGTCTGAATTTCTGAACATCTTTATGATGTTAGGAAGAGGCTATATGTAGTACAAAAGGGAGAATGGTATGTGTGTGTGTATGTATGTCTACATAAAATATTTTGCAAGAAGGCAGCATTTTTTATAATTAATTCCTTTGGATCTTCAATAAGACAAAATGCAACTCCAAAGGGACTTGCTTGGTTCCAGAGGCAGTTTGCTCATCGATTTCATTATAATTTTTATCATTTAGCAATGAGTTAATGAAGCTTAAAATAAAAGTATAAAAAAGTTTCACAGTTATCAGGTTGTATGTTAAATGGTTTCTGAACATGAATTACTGTAATATACAGGAAGTAGTGATATTATGGTAGATATTTGAAAACAATGCTCTGGAAAAAAACTGGGAAGGCTCTGATCCAGCTGTAAATTTCAAGTACTTCCAAGATGAAAGTATTTGAATTCGGGTGGGGTGGAAAGTGGTTTTCTTTTTTTCCTCTTTTTTCCTGCTTCTCACCATGAACTTAATGTATTCCTAAAATATTTATTTTCTCATCATCAAAAAGATGAAGTAAAAATTCCTCAGGTTTTAGAGGGCAAGTGATTGCTATATAAAATCCATAAAAAAAACCTGTAAGGTGCTGGTTGGGTTCCCTGTGAACTGGGATCTCTAAGCACGCAGCCATGAAAATCAGCAGATCTGAACATCCTGCAAAAGAGACTGTTGTCTGATCATGTAGATACACATGGCTTTTCCTCAGCACTGTTTTCTTCCTGGAGCTTGTGTCCTGAAGCACCCTCACCAGAAATGTTTCTGGAGGCTTTGATGACTGTCATTGTAGGGGAATATCACTTTATTTCTCTGAGATAGTAATGGGCCTGAGAGTTAAACCTCCTAGAGCAGAGTCTGTGGCACACAGGCACGTGCATCACTTTTTGCTTCCCCCTTCTGAGCAGTGATGATCTGCTACAGGTGGAAGTCTCTTGTAATGCACCTTTACTGGAGCAATGCTGTTGCTCTTTTCATGCTGCTGTGGTACTGCTTGTTTAGCATCTCTGTAGGAGCATGCTGGTCTCCCTCCCCAGCTGGCTCCTTGAGGTACTCCCTGATGTGGGTGAGTATGCTGCATGGTGCACCTTGGTGGCTGATCCACTGATAAAACCCAGGAGCCCTGCATGCTGGTGTCTCTCCAGGCTGTGTGAGTAGCAACTCAAGTGGCTCAGGTGAAGCATGTGTGCTGTGCCAGGGATGACCACAGTTTGTTTTCTTCCCTTCTTCCATCCAGAGTACAAGAAGAAGTATGGGGAGGAGCATGGTTCATGCCAGGCAGGGATCGCAGGCTTCTTCACCAAGGTGAGCTGAGGCACATGCATGGAAAGCTTGGGGGTTGGTAAGTGACTCTCCTGTTGCATGTCCCAGGAGGAGATTCCCAAGTATGGCTTGGACAGTGGGCTGAGTGCTGAGAATGGTCCCTTCCTGCCAGCAACACCCTTCTGCCTTGTCTAATTTCTCAGGTGTCTGTTTCTTGCACAGTGACTGCGCAGTAGTTCATACTATGTGTATACATATGTTATAAATATGTGTATGTGTCTCTCAAGCTCTGTGGACAAGTATAAATGAATTGACTCTGGAAATGTCTTCAGGGAATAATCATATTATGTACATCCCAAAACTTGCATAGGGGTGTTTCTCTGTCATTAGCTCTTTACTGTAAGTGATGATGTAAAAGTCTTTCTTGAATTATTTTGTTTATGTATATGTACATGTGCATTAATATAATGCACATACATACAGAAGATAAACACTTTTTTTCAGTTCTACTACAGTTCTTTGTTGCAGAAAGATGGAGAAAAAAAATGTGGTAGAATATACACACCACAGTTGTTCTAAATACTTGACCACATTCTTTCCTGGACAGAAGAAGACTATCAGCCATGTTTCAGTTTTGTCAATAACGAATTTGTAGCCTTATGCCTGGAGGTTTTTTTTTTTTTCTTTTGTTGATGTTTCAGGGTTGTGGCTTTTTCACTTGCATGTTTTTGTTCTATTTTAAATTTTTTAAGAACATATACCCTCTCCTAATTATATATAAATGTGCACTGATCTACATAATGTATTGTCCAGGCTGATACAAATAGAATAAAGGTTTTCTCTTTCAGAAATTGCCTTCTGCCATTTCAGTAAACTGGGATGGCAGGCAATGTTGCCACAAGGGCACTGTTTGGTAACTGGATGTTCAGCCAGCAGCAGCTGTTTCCTGACTTATCTCCTCTCCCCAGCCTGTTTCTGTTCCCAGGCTTAAATTTTCCTTTGCTACCCTAGTTCAAAAGATACCTTTGAACTTTTATCACTTCAGTCTGACGGCAGCAGGAAATGCAGATAAATGGCTTTTTGGGTCAAACAGGTGATCCTCTATCCTGTATTCAGTGCTTTGGGTGGTAGTTTTTCCTGTCAGTAAGTGACCTGACAGGTATGGCCCATAACAAGGAAAAAGCTATTTCTAAGCACATGCTGCTCTTTGGTTGGTGTTGTATTCCTGTCCATGTATTAGGAGAATCCCTTGTTTTACATCTCCCCCCTCAACTGGAACTGGTCACCTGAAGGGGACTCGGATATAATATCAATTTCCCACAAGGATGGAGTCCATGATTTTGCATTGAATGGAGATGTGAGGAAAGCAGCTGTTCGCATGTCTTCTTGGAGGGTGGAGAACTTCCTGGGTTTAATGCTCCTCAGGCTTAATTTGGTCCTTTGCTGGAAGTATTTAAAACCACACCCACGAGCAAGGTTTTTCTGCAAGGATGCTGGATTTTTTGGGACAACACTTTGTGAATTTCTCTTGAATGTAAATGTATAGTGGATTTTGACTCAAAAACATTATACATTACTATCTACCTTTGAATGCTAAATGAAACTGTGCCTGATTTCTATGGTCTTTGAAAATGTTCAGTCACTCTGGTTGTCTGTAATGCTCCCAAGCCATTTTATGATGCTATGATGACTCTGTATTCAGGTTGTCTCTCAAAGACCAAAGTGTCTGATGACAGAGCTGGGCAAAATGTTCCACCTGGGACATAACACACATCCTGCTTGTTGAGTGCATGGCAGGTCTTTAGCTTCATAGTTGTAAAATCAAAATCCTTTGTGCTGTTTCATCATGGTTGGTTATTATAGCATGTCAGCCAGCATCAAGGCATAATCTGTAGCTGAGTGGTGGGTTCTGGGTGGGCTGAGGTACTTCTGTCTCTGGGTCTTCTGAAGGATGTTTGGGAAAGGCAGCAAGTAGAGAGATTTTTCAGAGAACTATGTTAGCAGGGATAACCTTGATGGTTAGTAAGGTTGAGGAAAGTCTTCTGTAGCAGCAGAAGAGCTGAGCAGAAGTGGACTACGAAAGGGCAATCTGTCACTAGGGTATATGCAGTGACCTCCAGGTTTGGGAAGAAGGAAGGATACTGTTCAAATGCACACAGAATGGAGGTTGTTACAGATAGACTTATTATTGGTGTTTCAAGTAAATATCCTGTTCCTTCTCGATTAATGTGTAAAGGGTTGATTGTTATTTTTTCCTCCTACCCTTCTTCACACACACTTCCATTTTTCCTGTTATAGGAACTGGTCATCATGGGGGCACCAGGATCTTATTATTGGACAGGAACTGTCAAAGTACTGAATCTCACTGACAACACATACTACAAGCTGAATGATGATGCTGTTATAGCCAGGAGGTACACATACCTTGGTAAGCAGCTCTCTAGTGCTCACTGTGAGTAGGAAATTCTCCAACAACGTGTTTCAAGGCCTTGATGCTGTAAAGTTGGTAGTGTTTGTTTCTGTGGTGATATAGAGTATTTTTATAAAAAGTGTGAAAGGAAGAATATTTGCATTAAAATTATACTTAACTGGAAGCAAAGAAGCATTCAAAATACTCAGTTTTTCTCTTGTTCTAACACTCTCCCCCCCACACTTTGTTGTAATTTTTTTGACTAATATAGAAAAGACATTTTAACAGCACATTGGATTGTGGTGATCTTCTTAACATTCTTGCCTTTGCCCTGTAATGGGCAAATTATTTATTACTAGTTGAACTGCATGTCTGCTTATGTGTGCCTTTAAAATGGGTGCGACAACTAATTACAGAATTTGTTGCAGATATATTTATTTCAACAAAAATAACACAATCTAAATGTGTTATTGGCAACTGAAGGAAGTTGTGAAAGGTTTGGATATAGGTACATCTTTAACTCAATTGGTTTTACTTGCTCTAAAACCAGCTAATGTCCCTGAAATGCTTAATTTAAAGGCTTCCACCTAACCTGAAGTGCCTAAGACTGTTGAGACCTAGAAAGCATTTCAGCAGTTTGATACTGTTTGACTAAAGTCTTGCGCTGACCTCTCATTTTTCTCTTAACCGTTAATAGTTAAAAAGCCACCATTCTGTAGATACTGGTTGGTGATAGCTAAATGAAGAGTTAATGTTTACCTGTTTGCAGACATAAATAGGTTTTGCCACTGATAGGTTTGAATTTATAGGGTTTACCATGTTGATGAGAGCCTCATAATTTGTAGCAAAAGAGCAAGGCAAATACAAAGGAGCCTTAGAAGGAAAGCTACTCTACTCATCTTTAATTATTATATCTTATTTTAATATAAGAAATAAAGCTGAATTTTTGATATTTTTCTTTCAAATACACGCATTTTTCTTTGCTATATCATCCCATTTTTCTTCTTGCCTAGAAAAAAATCTTTTAAAGCTGTTGTCTTCTCTTTGCCTACTTTAAGCTGTTGACTTCTCTTAGCCTGATCTTGTCTTCTGTCTCCCATGACTGAAAAGGAACATGATTTTCCAAGCCTTCCTGGGCAGTGATTTTAGCCAAAGGAGGACACTCCTGTCTGATCCAAGTGGACTGTTGCTCTTTGGCATGATACTTTCTCCGTGGTCATATGATCACTTTTCTCTTTTTGTGTATGCCTTTTCCTGTTTTACTTCCCTCTCTTGACTTGCAGTTGGCAAACTGCTCCCAATATGAGCTCCTTGTGTCCCTTGGTCATCTCCACACGCATGGCTTTCTTGTCTCAGCTTTTGAAAGCATACTGGAGGGTGCACTCTCACTTCCCATCCCCATTAACTTTTCAACAGAATATTGGTGCATCCTGAGCAGAAAGGTTGTTGAACTCTTAAGTGCAGCCAAGGAGCAGGGAAGCCTTATAAACCTGATCTGTCTGGCTGATCTGTTTTTCTGTCATGGTTATTTATTTATTTCCTTTACTTCTCAGGATATGCAGTGACAGCAGGTCATTTCTCTCAGCCGACTCTGACTGACATTGTAGGAGGAGCTCCCCAGGATGGAGGCATCGGAAAGGTGTGGCTCTTTATCAAACAGTAATGTGGGTTGGATGCAACAATGCATGGAATATAATACTGATGCAGTTCTAACATGTGTGAGAAGACAAGAGTTTTTTATCTGCAGGGTAATTTTGAGCACTGAGCAGGGGAGAGATGAGGTAGTTGGGTGAAGTTGTCAAATTTTCTCAACCTGTCCCTCATGATGCATTGCATCCTTTGCCCTTCTTCCCTCTCTTTCCCACCCAGTCTTTACAATGCCCATTTTAATGAGACACAGACAAGATCTCTTTTACACTGCTTTTGTTTAGGTTTAGGTATTACTTAAAACTTTCGTAGATATGAAAATACTTGTGAAAGAGAATTTGTCTTCTGCTTCTTTTATTCACACATTTGAGTATTTCAGTATTTACTTCAAGATAACATCTCTAGTAGAATGAGATTAGGTGACTTGACGCCATTTTTAAACTTCATAATACTTTGATGTTTAGTGTATTAGAGTCTGGGTTTTTGCCAGCTATACTTAGAAATCTTGATGATAATCTCTTAAGAAGGAAGGAAACAAAAAAGATCTTCTTAAGGGCATATATAGGTTCCATGTCCCAAAGATGTAAACAAGTGAATGGCTAGATGGAAATGGCTCTTGAGTTAGGCAAGCCTGGTTCTCCTGTGCTGAGTATCCACGTGCTATTGGAGAAACTGATTGAGGGTGAGCACTGTGTCCTCAAACCAAAGGTGGAAAAAGTGGGAGAGGGGAGAGGGAGAGAAGGAATGTAAAGAATCTGCTTTCTCTCTTTCTTCCAAATGCAATCCTTTTGGAAGATTTTGGCATTTTTGAGGCCTCCTGTCACCACTTGCTTGAGCAGAGATATCCTGCAGCCCCTTTCCATCTTCCTCCCTTTGGTTCTCATGCTCTTTAGTGACATGAGTTGTAGCTGAATCATAACAAGCAGTGAGAAGTCTTCATTACCCATAACACTGTCCTGTTCAGGCAGATTGTTTTTGGTAGTGACCATGTCCTGGGGGTAGCAGTGCAAGTGGGGAGAATGGGATAAGAGGATGAACTTGGTCCTTACACCTGATCTGGCATGACTAGGAGGTACAGGATATAGTAGCATCAGAGTTGCTACTGAGAGGACATGTGCATGAGAAAGACATAGTTTCCTTATCCCAGGTGTTCTGTTATGGCTGCTACAGTGCACCTTCCTTCCAAGCTGCTTTTCTGTGGAACAAATTTAATTTCTCTACAAGGGGGAGGGTGTGGAAACACACCTGCTAGCAAGAGATCCACAAGAAAGCAGCTGGCTGTGTAGTTTAAAGACTACTGCTCTAGTGTCTAAAGCTTACATTGTTCTCCCTTGGCATGGGATGCGGGTAGCAGGAACACATGGCAAAGTTTTAGTAAGGGGTGCTGAATACAGAACCTTACAATGAGCGGTCCTGTTGTGCTTTCCAAATACTCTAATAAGCTGATCTTTTCCACTTCTCTGATAGAAAATGATTAGCATTGCCACACCTTTTCGCTTAAGTTAAAGCCAAGATTCTTAATGAAACTGGGTCATTTCTCCAAAGTCACAAAGATTGTCATTATTTAAGACTGGGTTTGGAGTTGAGACACCTGGCAACATGGTATTTGTGCTAAACATGCCACTGCATAAGCTAGGGAGTCCTGTGTATATAGAGCAATTGTCCACAGTAAACCTGTGCTGTGTTCTTGACTGAAAACAGCTTTGAACTCTGTCTCACCACCTGTTAATAACTCACCACATTCCAGTTCTTGGCTCTTTCACATGGCCTTGGAAGTAAGAGATCCTCTGTCCTACAAACTGTGTGAGCACCTGCTAGGAGGGAGCCTGTGAAATGCCACAGGAATCTCAAAGACTGACTGAACCAGCCTTTCTGTTGAAGGGAATCCCTTTCTAGAAGCCATATACTTCACATCTGAAATTTTGGTACAAGGTGTGTTCTTGAACTTGAATCATCAATACTTTTATTCCTGAGGACTACAGATTAAACAGTTTCTCCTGTGGAAATGAGCAATGAATAGGCTGTGTTTGAATAGTTTTCTGATTTAAAAATTGCTTCAGACAGAAACAGTGGAAATGTTGTGGGTGGTCTGATTGGGATTTCTACCCTGACTGTTGCTAAAGCATCATGAGGTTTGTAATGCAGTATGTGCTGGCACATTTTCTTGATAAGAGAATGCTTGATGAAGGAAGGGGAGCAGAGTTACGCATTCTCAGTCTTCTGCCCTACTTATTTCCAGATGGTCTCCAGATGCCACTTATTTGAGAGTTGTAAAGTTGCCTGCCTAGGTGCTTTTAAGTGCACACATGTGCACATACATGACATGCATAAGTGAATAAAAAAAAGTAGGCAACAAGATAATATTCAAGTGTTTCTTATGACAAGCCTGTGATTTTTCAGGACAGTGAAGAACTCTGTATCATCTTTTAAAAGAAGAAAACTGACCAGTAAAGTGGTCATGAAGTTGGATCCTGGCAATAGTCATGATCATGATTTAGATATTATTTAAAAAGCACAAGTGCTTCATAGTTAGTATTGGTTAACTTTTTTGGTTTTTTCACCTTTCAGGTTTATATTTTCAGAACGGACAGACAATCAGGCTCTCTAATAAAGATTTTTCAGGCTTCAGGAAAAAAGGTGAGCATTTATATATGTGTGTTTTCTATTAGGAGGGGGGTAGAGGAGGGTCGGAAATAATGGCAGAGTCATCCCAGAGCATAATTTTCATTTCACTCCTTCATAAGTTGTCCAGTAAACCCTGTTTCTTCTTATCCTCCCAGAAGAGCTAAACCTATTTTACAGATGAGCTGATGCCATCTCTTCTGTAACAGTCATGACTGCAATGTCTGCTCAATGCCCATGTGACTGAAATAGAAGGTCTTGCTGGAAATTGTAATAGTGGTTCTCTTTAGTTTTATGTGACTATAGTAGTACCTCTGAGGTGTGGGGCATGGTGGACCAGGTGAGCCTAGATGCAGAGATTTTCTCTTAGTAGATGATACTGGGAGATGTGGGTAACCTGGAGTTTGGTTTAATAAGCAAAGCCCCAATCTATTTCCCTGTGTTGTGCTGTGACAAGGGGGATGTTGCAGCTACACTCTTTTGTGGAGGAGCAATTTCATTGCCTCAACAGATGATGATTTCCCCTTCCAACTATAAATCAGTCTTGCATTCTGTTATTGAGACTGCTCTCTTAAAGCTGAATTGCCTTCCCCCTCCATGAAATTTAGTGAATACTAGTGAGATCTAGCTTCCCCAGTGTGGTGTTGTTTTTGATGGGGAACAGCCTGTGTTCTTCATTTGGGGACTTAATGGAGCTGTGTTGCAGGAGAAACAAAATGGACAGTATGTCTAGCTATAGGTAACAACAAAAAATGCTTTATTTAGGAATAACTTAGTGATTAAATGATACCTCTTATCTGGGATCTCCTGTGTTCTTCTGGAAGGATAAGGAAAAAAAAAAAAAAAGCTTTTGGCTCTGGGAAGACCTGCTAGCCTCAGGAAGATCCAAAGTCTTTGCCTGTATCCTCAGGTTGGGAGTGTTACTATATCTTGTTGTTTTTTTCCCAGCAAGACACAGTTGCAGTATTTAAAAACTTGCCTGGAATAGGAGATGTTAATTTACTGAATTTAATGAAATAAACTACAAGCCTACATGTGTGGGTGCCTGGTGTGACTTGTATTTTAGGGCCTCTGCAAAATTTTACTTTCTCTGCACTAGCAGAATTACAGACATCTTGAAAGGAAAAGACCTCCCAGTTCATCCAGTGTTTGATTGCTTCCTGTTAATTTCCTTTCCCTGCTGAGTTTTAAATGTCTCTAAGGATGTGCTCCTGACTATTCCTCAACCTAATAAACAGAGCCATCAGAAAGTTTCCAGGCCTTAGCCAAAACCTTTTCCTTTTCAATTTAATTGCTTTACTCTTATACGTAACTTAACTAATCAAGTATTTACATCATTCAAGTACTTGTAGGGCTCTTTTTCATTAGCATATTCTTCTATAAATTCTCTAAAATCCAAATGAGAATTTTATTTTAAAAAGAAGGCTGTGCTAGATCACCTTTTTTGTTTGGTTGGTGTTTTTTGTTTTGTTTTGTGGTAGAAGCAAAACCAGACCTGCTCAGCAATGAGCACTGCTTGGAAATGAGCTCTCATAAAATGCTATATCCTCCCTAGTGGTGTGAAAGTTTATTGCTGTGATATTCTTGCTAGGCAGATACGAACAGCTGGCCAGTTTCTTCCTTCTTTTTTTAATTAATGGAGGCTGAACTAGGAAATCAAATGCAGACAAAAAAAGAAAATTCATTACCTTGTTACAAATGTTAAGCTTGCAAACTTCAGGTTCTTATCTGAACTGTGAACAATGTGAACTCACCCATGCTGCAGACATGCCATGTTGCAGTTAAGTAAATAATAGCTTTTTCCTGAAAACTGCCTGAATACATAATAAAATGCTTTTCATAACTTTTGTTTATTGCCCATAAGAAATCTGCCCATGAGAAATTTCTTTTAAAATCTTTGTGGATTAAAAAAAGAAACAATAAATCCACAAGGAAGCTTGAGCTACAAAATAACTAGAATGAAATTATATTTGAGGTCCGACTCTAAACCCACTGCATTAACAAACTGAAGGTCTATTCTTCAATCACATTGCATTATATATTTAGCAACTATTAAATCTTAGAGACTGCTTAGAATAGCGTTGCTGCTGCCCATCTTCTAGCATGTCCAATACTTCGGGGTCATGAACGTTAGGCACAGAGGTCAAGCATCTGCTATGAGGAATGCAAAAGCATTCAAGAACATAAATAATTATTCCTTTAACCACAGATTTTCCTACTTTGTAGAAGACAGCACTCAATTTCAAATATGAAGTGGATCTTCCCCAGTTTCCTGCTGAAGCAGCTTTTAATTTTGAGGCTATAGTTTGTAGTTGGTTTCAAAGAGTATGCCTTATGTTACCTTAGCAGAAGTGAATGAAATAAGGGTGAAATATTCTTGCTTTTGGTTTCCTTCTTGTGTTTAAGTGTGTTTTGAGGTTTGTAATGTGGGTTCTGGCTGGGAGATAGTTATCAATGTTCACCCATATAAAAAAAAAATAATGAAATGAAATGAATGTATTTCTTTATTTTAAGCAGTTAAGTTTATCAAGCAATAATAAGTGGAAATTGAAAGTGGATTGCATTTGTTCTGTATCAACTGAAAAGCTTTTATTGAAAGTCTTTGTTTCTGTTTCAGCTTACCTGCCTGTACATGAGAGGAAAGGCAATGATTATGACCCACAACTAGTACGCCCTTTGACAGTGATTTATACAAATAGAGTAGGGAAGGATAGTCTATTATCAAGAGGTAGTCTTAGATACCTGTTTTCATGGTCTCTTGCCTGTTTTTCTTTTTTTCTTTCATTATTTATTTAAGGTATCTCCAGATCATCTGTGGTGCCCAGCTGCAAGGCACTTTGGCGCTGGGCATGAATGATCACTGTCTGGGTCTGGTTTGTGAAACTCATTTCACCCCTTCCTAGTTTTATGCATTTGACAAGCAAAAGCTAGCCTAAGAAAGCTCTTTAAGTGTCTCACTTAAGTATGTCCCAGAGTATAACTTCTATTCTGTTGGTAAAACATTCGGGCTTGATGCACTGTTATAGTAAAGTGTTTGCATTTCTGCCAGAATTATTCCTAAAGCTTTCTCTACAGGAGTGCTTGTGAGTGATAAAGTAGCAAGTCATCATGTGAAATTAAAAGAATAACCAAGTCAAACAAAAAACATGCCTGTATGATTTCCTGCTGTGTGTGGGCAGATACTGAATGCTTTGTTGTGACTCAACTTGGTTACAGATGGGCTCTTACTTTGGCTCCTCCTTATGTGCAGTTGACCTGAATTCCGATGGTTTGTCAGATCTCCTGGTTGGAGCTCCTTTGTTTTCTGAGATCAGAGATGAGGGTCAAGTCACAGTCTATATCAACAGAGGAAATGTGAGTATGTGCAGGAGGTGATTTGGTAAGGGATGAGGGTGTGGGTCCCTAGCAAGGTAGTGCTTATGTCCTTCTAGTGCTGCATGGTGAAACTCGATGTTTCAAATAAGTGGGGCTCTGGATGTCTCTAGCAGAGCATGAAGTCACAGGAGGACTCATCTGGTATCGTAGTTTGCCAGACGCCAGCCCAAATTCAACAGAGACCTGTAAATCTTTCAAGGAGATCTGACAAAGACTGGTTGTATATTGAAACTTGGTGGCATTTGTGGCTTTATATGGATTTGATGCCAAAACCAAGTAAGAGTCAGCAGCTTTTACTTGAGTTTCCTTTGTGTTTTGAGTGGTCACTAAAACATGAAACACAAATTGGAACACAAATATCTGAGGACTGAGGAAGAGGAGAGAAAGCAGTGGTTGAATTCATGTTACTTTCAGATTATGCCCCATATAAAGGTTTTAGGGGAGGTTCTTATCCGCTGTTATTGCTGGATTTCACATGACCTGATAACAGTCTTGGAAAAGTCTGAACTTCATTGCATTGACTAACCAAGGACATTCTTAAGTTTTATTTATAGGAAAACAGTGGTTGTTTACATACTATGAAATATTTAATGTTCAGGTCCTAAAGCTGCTGTCTTAAAGGAAGAGTTGTTAAAAATTAAAAATTTTTAACAACTAAAATTAAATTGGCTTGTATTTAGTGAACTTTGAATTTATTTATGCTAGACTTCAAATTCACCAGAAGTCCTAGCATTTAGGAGACTTGAGAAGTGTTTTTGCTGTAATTTTTTTATTACTGCTCCTTTAATTGAGCTTTACTTTTTCAGCTTTATCCACAGGAGGTTCCACCGTTTATGTTGCAGCATTGCTGTTGGGTTCTGCTGATAGGGTCCAGAATGCCAAAGAGATAACCAGTATTTCCTTCTCACAGTGAGAGTATACATGAGTTAATGTTTATCTTCTATAAAATAGTCAAAAAGCTAGTATGAGTTTCTTATCCTCAATGGCTTGCAGGATTGTGGGCTTTATTTTGAGCAGTGGACATTTTAAACTTTGTTTTGATGTCTTTTCCTTGCTTCCAAAAATTAAGAGCCAGACACAGTTAAGGGATAATGGGTTTTTACCCTTGGTATTTCATAAGGATCCTTATGGTGTACCACTTTGCCAAGGTGGAATGTGCCAAAATGCACACACCTGATAGATCACGTACAATTTTATAGACCTTACAAATAATCACATCTAACAAAGATGCCCCAGTGAGAGGCTTGAATGTATAGCTTGATATCTCGCCATCTTGAAGAATTTTCCCCTGGATAGGCCTATTCTTAATTTACAGGATGTATTTTAAAGAGGACCTTGGTTTCTCAAGGTAGCATAGGGTTTTCTGGCCTCCAGCTATGGGGTCTCTAGGATGTTTGGTCTTCTGGCCTAACAGAATACCAGACTGTGCTGAGTTATCAAACTTAAGGAATTGCAATAATGCATGCTAGGAGCACTGAGGATACATAAAAGGTATATAAAAGGTATATTAAAAAAAGGCAAAAAATCATCATGATGTCAGTTTCATTCTGCAAGCACCATTGCTTAAGAGGTTGTTGCAGAGGATCAGAGAAAACTGTATTATAAAACAAGCACGCATAATGATGCTACATTTAAAACGCTTATATTTTGCCCTTTCCTGTGACAACTGCAAAAGAATTGAGTCACACATACAGGCCTGCCTGTCTTCTATCTATTGTGTTTCAATTTCATTATGCAGGGTTTTCTTGAAGTCAGGAGCTCCTTGCAGCTGAGTGAAAGATTTTAGTACATGTTCTAGAGAGTAGCTTATTCTCATTCACAAAGAAAGCAAAACCAAAACAACCCTGAGGTGGGTACAGACTTAGACTGTGTAACTAAATCTTTTTTTCTTGTGGATATGTTCATTTCCCCTGAACAGAAGATGGTAAGAAAGTAAAAATCTGACCAGAAGGTGAGTGGGCAGGAAATACCAGCACCATATAAGGCTTCTCATGGCATAATAATACAAAGCTACTTAATTTTCAACTTTTCTCAGTCTCTTTATTTCATTAAATATATTTCCTTATTCTTAATTTAAGAAGGCTTTTGGAAGACTTTGCTTTAATCCTTCTGTCCCGTACTTAAAATGTTTTCAAATCCAATTAATAAATATTCTTTGCTTAGGGAAAAATACTCCTTAGCTTAACTTCAGGAGTTTAGCTGAATAAACTTGAACTGGGGATTTTGGCCGTTGAATGTAATATGCGAGTAGAGCAAACTCTGGGCTCTTATGTTTTAGGCATCTGTAAACTTTCATGATTCACCAGTCCCTGTGACTGCATTTAATTACACCTCTGAGTTACTGTTTAGTTAATTTATTATTTTGGTTAAGTCATGCACTCCTTTGTCTTCCCCTTCCCCCTTTAAAACTAAAATCCAGAAGGTTTAAAATACAAGTAAATTTGATTTCTAGAGCCCAGGTAATCTGACTGCAAAGAGAGCAAGAGACAGGCTGCATCTTTGCCCCAGATCATTCCCACAGCACATGGGCAGCTTCCTCATCCAGGGCTTGCACCATTCCCCTGACTTTTTTTATTTCTTGCTTGCTAGGGAGTGCTGGAAGAGCAGCTCACCCTGGACGGTGACAGTGCCTATAATGCACACTTTGGGGAGAGCATGGCTGCCCTTGGCGATATTGATGATGATGGCTTCCCAGGTCAGTGCAATTTCCTCCACTGCCATTTCTCCATAAGTGTGAGCAACACTGGTGACACTGTCAGTCTTGCATGGCATGCATTGCTTATCCAGACCTGACTAGCACCTCGGTTCAACCTAAAGATAAATCTGCTTGTGTAGAATTTGTGTGCTAAAGCATTTTGTAGCTGACTGTCCTTGCTGTTGGTTTAGTTTGTGTCTGTGCAGGTCACATTAACATTGTTTTGTTTTCCTTGCTGTTGTATTTTCTTCTTCCCTGTATGGCTTATAAAAGGCTGTAGGTACCCTCACCCTGAACAAAACAGAAACCTATGTCTGACTTCTTTCTTCTTGACCATTTCCCTATTTTTCCAAGCCTTTCTGGTTTTGTTGACATAATCTTATTTCTTATCAAGATGTATAATTCAGAAGTAGCTTCTCACTCCTGACAACACATAGTCTATTAATTTCTCTCTTTTGCTTTGTTCTCCCCCTGCTCCATTCTCAGGATGCTCAATGTGAGACCCCATGCTGTGAGAGCAGTAGGTGAGAACAAAATGTCAGTGTTCCTTTTCTGCCCTGGTTTCTGGAAGTGCAGATTAAGGACTTCTAAACTGTCCTGACTTAGGGCAAGTTTGGGAGATAACCTCCAAAGGGGCTTCTCTACGAAAGCAGATTCAATTGCCCCCTCCCCCCCAACCGGTTCGGGAGAAAATATCTCCTTGGAGAAAAAGTGGAAAGAAACCTGTTTATTAAACAATAGAACCCAAACAATATAACTTCTCACTGCTCCAAAAAAACAAACTCAGAACAGTCCCCTCCCCAGGTTGCAGTTCGTCTCACTCAGTTTCTGATCAGTCTCTCTGGTGCTGGAAATGCCGCGGCCCAGGCCCGGCCAAGGGGCCTCAGGTGGAGCTGCCGGTGCTCTTCTGGGTGTTCAGTCCAGAGCAGGCTTGAACAGATCCAAGAAAAAGGAAAAATCACAGTCCAGGGAACTTCTTTGCCTCAGCTAGCTAAAACTAACTAAAAGCAAAAAAAAGGGGAAAAGAGGAGCTCTGTCCTGCTGTCTGTACGTCCGCAGACAACACAGTCCAGGAGCAGGAATATGGAGGAGTGAGTGCAGTCTGAAAAACAAACTGCACGCTTCTTTCCTCCCCTCTTCACTCTCTGGAAGAGAGTCTTAAAGGTGTAAAACTTATTATTCAGTATAAACAAGACAAGACGATTGGGGATAAAAGCATCATATAGTCAACCCAGGACATAAACAAAGGCCAACTTAGTGTGTGCTTGGATTTATTTCTTCCAAGCCACTCAGGACACAGTATCCCATTAAGCCTAACCCAGCCTTCTTGCAGGTTGCCCTCACAAATCATGAACATGCTTTTCCTCTGCATCTGGACATGTGCTTGTGTGTACTTGCTAATATATGGTCAGTTACGGTGATGCTGAGACTGGAGAGGATCAGTCCATGGGTACGAAGAAATTGTGAAAACCTTAATTTTAGCAGATAGCATGGTCACTAGATCCAAGTAGGAGAGGAGAACGGGAGGTGGGATCATGTTCTCTGTAGGAGTTTGCAGTTAAGTTGGATCAATTGTAATTTGAAAAGTCACTCTCAGCAGTTGCTTTTAATTCTTGCCTATCCATTTAATATACCCAGCTTCTTTGTGTAGCCTTGGATTTTCAACCAACCTTAATGTACTGCTACAGTAAATATTTCGGCAGTCTTGCCTTGGTTCACAAAGTTGGTGTTCTCATAGTTGTTCTCATGGGTATTTGGCTATAAAAGGATTCTAAATTAATTTTTTGAATATGGTTGCTGGTTGAAAAACACATTTTTGTAAAAGAACATGTCTAATTAGGCACAACATCTGATTATGTGAAACATACGTATGTGTACAAATTCATATGCATTTGTGTATTTTTAAAGTTTATCTTAACATGAGCTCTTAATAAAATCAACTAAGTTTTTCTACCGAGGTTCATATAAGCTGGTGATCAGCTTTTCATGGGGAGCTGTTTTCCTATGGATAGCTGTATCCTAAAATTAGGGAAAAGTTGGATTAATGGAATGGATTGTGAAATCTGCACTGTTTTACAGATGTTGCCATTGGAGCGCCTAAGGAAGATAACTACATAGGAGCAGTGTACATTTACCATGGGGATGCCAATGGTATTATTCCTCAGTACTCTATGGTATGTGACACTACTGCTTATGATCCCTATCTGAAAGTCACTTTTCCAGGACCTGCAGAAATGAACAATACTTAAGGGTCCCTTAATAGGTAACCTTGTCATAGCTATATTCTTTTCTCAGTTCTGGTTTGAAGATAGCTTCTCCCAAAATTTGTCTATATCTATGCTGAAAGGTAAAATTATGCTAGTTAGGAGGTATTTTTTACTCTTTTGTTACAGTTGTCAGCTGTATCTTCTTGAAGCAAGCAGAGTCTTAAAAGTTGAGTGTTAGTTTTTAGGGATAGTACTAATGCAGAGGAGAAATGAAAACCCTGGAAAGGTTGAGCATGCAAATTGTGGAGAAACCCATGGGAAATTGGGAGGTTGCACTTCTTGTAGAAGCAGACTTTGTGAGAATGAAGAGTTACTAACTGTTCTTTTGTGCCTCCTTACCCATTTTATTGGCCTTCTTGCATTCTGACAATGTGTCAGAAGGCCATTCTTAGTACCATCGCCCTTACCCACTTACGATGAAGTAAAACCTTGTTGGGGATATGGTATGGTGTCTTGTGCAGAGACAACACAGACAATTTAGCTGCTGTAGCCAGGCAGTAGAGAAGATAAATTTATGCTCATGCCACCCAACATATGTATCATAGTCTCTGTCTAGCATATTTTTGTTGTGATAAGACACAAAATGATGACACAGACACTGCTGCTCTTGAGGGGAACAAAAAAGAAGCACCTTTATTTTCTGACTCCAACATTTATAGTTTTCCAAAGGTGACAGTGGATTGGAGGGTGACAGTGCCACCTCTCCAATGCCACTGGACAGACCAAGGGTCCATCAATTCTCTCCACCTCCATGAAAGAATACAAAACATAGGTTATTTACAGAACTGTGTTGAAAGAATGTAAACATCAGAAAGCTTAACAAAGTCTTACAAAATCAAGGTGACACATTTTATTGTTCTGAAAGCCTGACTCTTCCCTCACTCTGTGTGTTTGAAGTTCTGGTTGTTTTGTTTTGTTACTGGGTGGGATCCTTCATAGTAAATCAGTTTACACAGAATTAAAGTGTTCAGTGGTTATATTGGCAACTCTTTCAAAAGACTATAAAAGTTTAGTCCTTCTTTACCATGTATATGACATGCACTACTTTTGAAAAAAAGGGAAGTTAAGTGACTCTTCAGTGCATTTTAGAAGTATTCATAATGTATGGCATGTGGAGGATTCTGTCTGTTTTTTGCCAAGAGCCACTGGTTGGGAGGTTCTTCTCTGAAAACTCCAGAGCTCTCCAGCTCTTGCTGAAAAGGATTAGATTTTTTGTTTTGTTTTATTTTATTTAGTATAGTTTAGTTTTTTGGTTTGGTTTGATTTTTTGGTTTGGGTTTTTTTTTGGTAATTCTTGGGCAAATTTCACATTTTTTAAGGATAGATCAGCAGGGTGGGAAGGAAGGCATCCTGTTTGTGATCTCTCCTTCCCCATTGGAGCAAGGCCAGCAGATACAGCACATGTCTCTCTGGCCAGTGGGAAAACACCCAGCTCAAGAGATTGGCTGGCTGTGTGGTCATTGACTCTTGATGAACTGTTCCTATCATTGTCCCATGTCCTGAGGCGGCCAAGGGGGTACTGCTTACAGGCATTGTCTCTCTGCCATTTCCCAGTGTCTGGTGCAGGGCACTAGACACACCACTGGCTCATGTCCTGTGTGCAGCCAAAACTGTGTAACAATTTCATCTCTTTACCTATCTGCCCTGGATTTTAACCTGAAGGTGGAAGACATTTTGTATCTTATTACTATATTCTTGATCCATCTTATTGTTGTGGAGTTCCTGTTTGAAATGAGCTGTGAGAGGTGGAGGGAGGGTTGTCCAGCAGGGTATATATTTTCACCCTTTTCATTTTGTTAGCTCTTCCTTCTCCCTCCTACTGCTTTCATCATTTATAGTGCTGGTACATGTCATTCTCTGATGTCCCTTCAGCAGCTTCAGTGGCAGGTATTAGCAGAAACAGCTGACTTGGCTTTGTGTCCTGCTATTTTCATTTATGGTACTTAAAAGCAGCGTTATTCTTCTGTCTTGTAGGCTGAAAGAACCCACAGATGTCTTTTAGGTGTTTGCAGGTGGGATTTACCACCCTAACTGGGACCCCTAAAAATGGAATGTGAGTGTAATGTGGGGATGAAATTACTTCCAGTTGTCTTAAGCTTACCTGCCCACAAGTAGAAAAAGATATCTGTACTCAGAGTAGTACTGTTTTCCCTGTAAACTAACTGTCAGGATATCTTTCTTATCTTCAGCTAGTCTTTTTTTCCATAAATTTCCTGCCTGATCTTCTGTCCCATATTGCATTCTTTTATGGGAGGGCCAGGAAAAGTTGGTCACATGTCACAAACAGTGAAGCACCTCCAACAGACTTAAAATTACTTCATGGTTTCCTCTGTCTGTAACTTCTGCAGTCAGAAGTTGATTTGAGTTCAGGTCCTGCATTGGCAGCCCAGCAGAATGATTGAAAGCTGGCGGATTGCCTTCACCGAGAAAGAGATTTTGATATGTTAATTTGCTTCAGACATTTGCATTTACAATGCAAATTTAGAGAAAGTAATTAAAAGAAGAAAGAAATTATGTTAGAAGTCAATTAATCTTTGTGTGGGGGAGGCAAAAATGAAATACAATGTCCAAACTGGCAGAAAATACTCTGTAATAGATGATGGAAACCAGAATTTCCAAATGGGATGAGAATTAATAATTTTGACTTTGAGTATGCTGGCAGACTTGGTGAAAAGAAATGATTGTGCATGATTTTTTGTTTTAGCTAATCATTAATATTGTTAAGATGCTTCTTAAGACTTTTATTCACAGAAATTAAAAAAATCTCTTGGGTGCAGTTGTATTTTTTCCTCATGCAGAAATCTGTTTGATTTGTTCCTTATTTTGCTTAGGGCTGCATGAGTATTGTAATGCAGGTGTGGGTTTTTAGTTCAAGTCAACAGTGGTCTCCTACCAGCCAGGAGCAGAGGGGCAGTTGACTGCCTTCCTGTTAGGGCTGTGTGGGTGCAGTGCAAGACAGCAGGTGCATAGCGCTTCCAACCCATAGAAGAGAGACCCAGTAGCCATGGAAATCATGCTTAAATGTTTTGGGATTTTTTGTTTTGGTAAGAGGTTTTTTTAGAGGATTTTTTGTGTCAATGACTAATTTCACTTGTGTGTTTTCTACTGCAGAAGCTGTCTGGACAAACAATAAACCCAAAGCTGCGTATGTTTGGCCAGTCCATATCAGGAGGTGTTGATATGGATAGCAATGGTTACCCAGGTATGTCAATTACTCTGGCAGTGAGAGCATCAGGAAAATACAGTAGCAGGCTGAGAAAACAGCAGAGCTGGTTGTTTTCAGGCTTCTAGTTCCTGCCATTGCAGGTAGTCAGTGAAACTGAGCTGCTTTTTCCATTTCCCTTCTGCCACTCAAAACTCCTGATAAAAATTTTCGGTGATTGCACAATTAAAGTATTTGGACAGTTACAATGATTCAGTATCTGGCCAAGGTTTTAAGTTACTGGGAAGATGCTCTGTCAGGATGGTAGTCTTAAAATAACCCAAAAAGTAGACCAGAATATAATAGTAGTAATAAAAATCAAACAACGAAGCAGAAGTGAACATCACAGAACTAATCCTTCAATTACAAGACTTATGACATAATGATATTTGAAAGGACAAACTGGCTAAGTCATAAAATGCTTTTTTTAGTTTCATGTTCTGTGATTTAGCAGCAGATTTGAGAGAACTGAATTTTACGCATCCTTTGTAACTGCCTCAGTGTTGCAAACATTTCAGATATGACTGTTGGAGCCTTCCTGTCAGACAGTGTGGTACTTCTGAGGTGAGATATCTTTTTTATTTACTGTTGTCTTCTTCTGTTTTCTGTTTATATCTTATGTGGTCTAAGTCCAGTTTCCTCCCCGGTTTATTGTGGCCAGAAGAAGCTAGCTGGATTACTTTTTAAGCAAAACCTTAGACATGAATGGTGTCAAAGAATGCAGTCCAATTTAAATAGAACAGTGAGGGCTGATAATACCAGGATAATACCTGGTCTATGAAGAAAAAGGGTTAGAAGTGAAAGGAGATGTGTTGTATCTCAGTGCCTCTTTAAAAAGGTTGCTCCTGACTTGTGACAAGGCTTTTTTTTATGTTTACCTAAAGTAAATCAATGGTGATTGAAGGGAATGCAGTTGAGCAAAAAATGAGTAGTATAGGATGCCAGGATGTAATTTTGCAGATATAGATAGATAGATAGATAGTTTTGCATATATATATATATATATATGAATATATATATGAATATATATAATTTTATAATGGGATGCAGAGTGAAATAAGAGTGTTTAGGGAAATGAAATACGGATACATTTTCAGTACACACAGGAGCTGGGTTGCTCTTTCAAGTTTGTGAGTTAAGTGTAATTGCTTGTTCTGTCTTACAGAGGTGGGACAGCTTGGTTCACCAAATTGTGTAGGTGGAGAGTTAGAGTGCAAATGACCTGGGTAACAGAATGGAAAGCTGGATTTTTGTCAGTAGTTCCTTTGTTATACTCGTTAGTATTAAATTAAAAAATCATTTCAATACTTAGATATCTTTAGGAACTCCTGCATCTTAATGGAAGATACAGGGATGGGGTGACCCAGGTAAGACAAATGCTGGAGCTGCAGAACAGATGTGCCGACCTTCTTCCTGTTCAAGGCAGGAGAAACTTGGCTCTGTTTCCTTTTGAATCAGTTACACTGAAGAAAAAGAAAAAGGAGAGAGAGGGAAGAAATACTTTTGATGATCAGCATGTCAGGTGGTCAAGGCTTTTGAAGAGCTTTCTGTTTCTTCATCATATATACAGACAGAGAAGGCTAATAAACTGCTTCTGTGAAAAGATGTGCCATGCCCCAGATAGGAATTCACAGTTTCACATCTCTGAAGCTGCTAGAAAGAAAACTGCATTTTTCACCTACATTGATGTTAATTGCGAGAGAAGGGGAAGACAAACTGAAAGGCTTATTGTGATTAAAACCACATACATCACAACAGCATGATGACCTCTGTTCATGCATTCAGTTATGCTTGCCCATTTCAGGGGAAATTAGTGCATTACTGACTAACTTTGTAAACAGCTTGATTAATTGCTGTTACTGCCAATTTACAGTGTGCCTCTCTTGCTGTTAGGATAAAGAGATAAACTTTTTCTCCCCCGTGCATCCCCTCACCCTTCCTGCTTTTGTGAAGTTCTTTAACCAAAACCAGCAAATGTTTTGTCAAGTGATACTTAATGCCTTTGGTGGAAGCCGAATTTCATGACTTGGGGCAGACACTTTCTGTTGATCATGTGTGTGTATGGCTCTTTGACAGATGCATTGGGTTGTTTTTCCCCAGTGAATAACCGAGTGACATAGCATTAAGGAAAAATCACACAGTGTGTGATAGGTGGATAAATACTTTTTGGAATACTTTCTAGATCAGTTATAGCATTTACTCTTTTATGTCTCCCTAAGCATTCAGAAAGAGTGGGTTTTTTTGAAGATGTGAAATGATCGTAGGATGCTGACTTTTTTCCCCTCCCTTCCCCCTACCTATATATTTCTAAGGCTATAATTTCTTTTTATCCTCCATCTCAAAATGTGAACTTGCACTGTTACTTCAGGCTGTGATAAAACAGTCTGAGCAGCTGTATAGCAGATTGATGTGATTCTTGTTCCAGTTCATATAAATTACGTGTAGCCACAATCCCTGCTCTCTTCTCCCTCTCCCCTACCTCTAAATTTAAGTGGCTTGTGGAATGAGAGTCCTGAAGTGGTTTACAAGCTCTGGCCTTGCATGGCTGCTGGAACTACCTTAGAACTGAATCTGCTGGTTGCAGGGCTCTCATTCCACAAGCCACTTTAAATTTTTTTATTACTGTAGTTGATTTTGGAAGAACATGTTCATCTTGAACACATACAGAATTGAAAACAGGAAGACTAACACCCATAATTTTTGGGCTGAAGTCCTGCACTGGAGGTGGCTCAGGAGTGCCTGAGTTTCTGGGTTGCTTTTCCCAATCAAGCTGCTGGGCCTTCTGTGTTGTGTGAAGGAGGAAACTGTTGAGAAATAAATTCAGTGCAGTAGCTTAGTGTGTGAACTGCAGATTGAGCTCTGGGTGGTGGGAGCCCAAAGCAAGGGGACACTTGGGGACACTGAGACATAGCAGGAGCTGAGGACTCAGGAGGCAGAGCAGAGACTTTAGTGTGCTTGGGCTGTGAGGCTATAAAAGCCCTTGGGGCGCTTTGCTTGGGGTTTCTCCTTGGAGGCACCACCTCCAGCTGTTTATGTGTTACTGCACTGTGAATAAAAGGCTTTATGGAACAATGGGAAGTCTGGTCTGACTGTGTGAGTGTAGTGTGTGTAGGGAGTCAATGTGGGCACCTGTCAACTCACTGGAGCCACATGCTGTAATGTGCTTTGGTCCCAGCAGTTAAATTATCTGGTGCTGGGAGTGTGACTCCCTGATGGATGTGTGACATCCCTCCTGGATGATCACACAGAGAAGTTTTCCTAGCAAGACATCTGTGCTTTAAGCCAGTCAACTTGCTCTGTGATTCTGGCTGAGGTCTCCCTCAGCCAGGAGCACTGGTAGCAATAACCTGGTGCTGGAGTTGCAAGAGTAGAAAGCTTTTCTTCACAGTGCACTGGATAGTTCCTGAAACACAGTTCAGCAGTGTGATAAGAGTATTCAATCCTTATCACTTGCCAGGAGGCAATTAGCTGAACTTTTCCTTCAGAAAACATGGATGTGATATCTCTTGGTCCCTCTTATGCTGTCAGAAAAATTATGTATGAATCCATCTCCTTGGAGGACCTCTGTGCACTCTCCTTAACTTTGAGGTCACAAATTTGACTATAGACAATTCTGTGGAAACACACAGTCTCTCCCTAACTGTCCCTGTTCATCCAAGATGCTTAGCAAACAGTCTCATTTGCATAAACTTGTTTGCTGTTCTGGTAATATTGTTATCCTCTTCAGTCATCATGAAGGGTTATGCAACATTTGCTGGAGATGATTATTGTTATTACATGATATCAGTTTCCTCAGCTGCCTGCCTGCAGTCTGTATCTGAGCACTAAACTTCAAGCTGACATTACCACTTTCATTTAAATGCTAGTAGCCCTTGCCAGCTAGATAAAATGCTAGTTTATTTTACAATTCAAATGTACTCTCTTATTTTTCCTGTCCGCTTGAAATTGGGCAGTTTACCAAATTTGCTTTTTTTTTCCTTTCATGGAGAATTTCCCTCTGAATGGTCACTCAATTTTACTTCTCTGTTGATCTCCAGATCCAGGCCTGTCATTACCATGGATATCGCCATTTTCCTGCCCATATCTATCAATATCACAGCTCCTCAGTGCCATGATGGTTTGCAGCCGGTGAACTGTCTCAATGTCACAGCATGCTTTCGTTTCAGCGGCAAGCATGTTCCTGGAGAAATAGGTAAGGTACCTGTGCCGGCCCTAGACAGAAGCTCAGTAATAGAGTTAAGGTCTCTTGTTGTACTTAGTAGCAGAGCTTTTGTGTGAAGTAAGTAGTTTCAAGATTAACATGGGCCATACAATCCCAGAAAGCTGGAGGCTTGAGAACTTTGTTGGACGTGTTTTCACCTTAATGAGGCTGACATAATACTGAGGCAGATTCTTCCTGAGTGAAATAAGGAAAATGTCTCTTTGGGCTTATTGCAAGGATAGAGAACACAGCCTTCTGAGTTCATATTCCCTGTCTACCTCTTGATAATACATACCTGTATCCATATCCTCTATCGGTGTTTTTAGAAAACAGAGCATGATTTGCTCTGGATTAATAGTGTTGAAAGTCTGCAAGGAGCTCTTGAAACAGACATGAGAAAATCCTTTTCTGTGCATCAGTTTACCTGTTTGTAAATTGATTATAAATAGCCCAGTATTTTACTGATTGCAAGAATATCTTCCAGATGAAGAGAAACACTTAGATTTTCTCAGGTGAATGGAATTGTGTAATGTGCAATTGCCCTAGCCTTTACATCTTGGCTCTATTGAACTACTACTTATGTCTTTTACATTTCAATGCTTACAAATCTTAGCTGTTTTATGAAGTGGTATTGGACAGATACAGCATTTCTAAATATTTAAGGCCTGGGTTAATTTTTTTCATGATGTTTCACCTTTTTCATACTTTAAGAATGGCAGAGGACTTGTACTGTACTATTCAGTGAAGATGCCTCAGCCTCACAGCATGCTGTGTCTTGACCAGTGAGTCTGGTGGGGAGCTGGGGGAAGCACTGCCTCCTCCTGCTCTGTGCCCTAACCTTTTTGAGCAGCTAGTTGAGAAGGGTGAGTTGTGTCTGTATCCTTACCTAAGCCTGCTGCAGTATTCTGTTTTTAATTAAGTCAGAAAAGGAAAAGGCTTTTTGCTACTTTTTGCATTGGCATGAAGTCAGAACTGCAAGCAGCTTGTCACTGTCACCTGAACAGCTCAAAAAAATGGAGTTACTATATTTAAGATTCCTCTGTATTCTAATATATTGGTGCAACTGAGACTTCAGTTTAGGTTTTTGCGTCCTCTAAATGATGGAGAAGGAAGACTTGCACACCAGATGATGAACAACAAGTCTCAAAAGTTTATTGGATAGGCACACACATTTATAGCAGTGTTAATAAGGCTAATGCATATTGTAAAAATTGAGCTCATCATTGGTTAGTCATTTATCAGTCAACTACGTCTACGTTTACATTCTTGTGTTCACCTTGTTATGGTTTCTGCTATCGTTCCTTCATTCTTGCTAGCTAACAAGCTTCTCCCACAACCTCAAGTTTCGGCAAGGGCACAGTGACCTTGCCGCTTTTATCCTCGTCTCCTTCTTGCTTCCAGCATGATCTTTGTTAGCTAGCTAACTATCTACAAAATCCTCTACATTTCCCCTGTTTGTATCTCGGGCAGATTAATCTGGCTGTGGCCCTTATCCAGGAGCCAGCTTGTTACAAAGCTCTCAACACCTAAATGCTGACTTTTTCCTTCTCTGTAGATGATGACTCTAAGTAGAAAAATGCATGCTTTGATAAAATATTGTTTTTGCTACCCACTATTCTGTCATTAAGGAAATAAGTTTCTGAGGGTTCCTGAGGTGTTAATTCCTCTCTGAAAAATTACAGATAGGTTTTCTGAATATCTAGGTGTTCTTACATTCCTGGGGCATTATTTAAAATGTTTCCTTTGCTTTAATTTCCTATCTTTGTATCTGTGGCTAAGAAGTAAACTGCCTTTTTTGTAATCTAAATGTCAGTTTCCCTTGTTTACAAAAGACCTGTCTCCCTGTTCATCATGTGTTGGAAGAGCTGGCTGAATTTGCCTGTGTTGTCATACACATTGTACTGCCCATGATTTACTGGGTAAAAGCACATATGCATCTTTTTCCATGACTAACATACATCGCGTTACAAGGAACTTTTTTATAATTAAGTAGGTTATTATAAACTTCAGCTATTGCCCTTTCATACAATACTTCTAACAAAGTGATTTTTCTTGAAAATGTTACAGCCAGAGCTATCTGACTGTATAAAACTCATTCAGGATGTGATTTAGATAAAATATCTCAAATAATCTTTCAATTAGTATTCTAGCAGTCAGGCCATTTTAATTATGTTGCAGTTGAAGAATATTAATTTACAAAATATGGTACAATTATTGTAAATATTGTAGTGGTTAATTTCCTGTATGGTTAAATGTATGGGGAAAAAACCCTAGACTATTCCTGTTCATGCATTGGTATGCAGTTCAGACTTTGAAAGGCTTACAGAGGTGTTAAAATGCTATGCCAGAATTTTGTGGCTGAAATTATTAGGATTGTCTCACCCTCAGATGTCTGGGTGCATTTTGTTAAATCAGGCTGTGAGAATGGAGTGCTCATCTAGAGTGGCACTGCCCTATGGCTTGTCAGCATGGATTCTCAAGATTACTGCTTACTGGTGTAAACCTGAGCATATCTCCTGCTTTTGGGCAGCTGAAATTTGCCGTCTACTACATAGTGTTCAGCAAGTCAAGCTGAACATACATGCAGTGTTCTCATGTGGCAAATGTGTGTCTTCAATACTTATTTCAGTGTGTGGTTATTTTATTAGCAAGAATGGGAAGAGAAGTCATCTTCATCTGCCTCACACTAGCATGTAAACATTATCTACCTTTTTTTTTCCTTCTTCTTCTAGTGGTAGTTGCAATACTGAAACAGCTATCTGAGGATCTGTTTATGGATACTGCTTGACATTGCAAATGACAGTACAATTTCCATTAAGTAGTTTCTTGCAGACTATAGTTTTCAGAAGTATGAATTTATCACTGAAATGTTTTTGTCTGAGCAAAGAGCCATGGCCAAGTGAAAGATGTGCTCTGCACTTTCTGTCTGACCCTTCACTCTGCCTCAGTGCTTGTTGTAGAGCTGAACATCTAGTTGTATGCCTCCTGACAGAGACAGCCTCCAGTATGTCTTGGACATATAAGAAGTACAGCATTTTAAGTTTTCACTCTGTCATCTCAGAATCTCACTTAGACTGTTCCTCCCTCGCTTGAGGGGTCATTGCTCTGTCTCCCTTGGGGTCTCTGCATTACCAGGAAAGCCAGTGATTAGAGGAACGCCTTTCCTATCTTGGGTGAAAAGGTTTCAGCCTGTTCAGACTGTTTAATTCTGTGTGACCAGGACAAGAAAGAGGCTGCTGGCATCTCTGTGCATCAAGTGCTGCTTCTGCATTCATCCCTGAAGGAGAATGGAAGTAAACTTGTATAGTAAAATTGCTGAGATCTGCTTATGAAAGCTGTCAGAAATGCCTCTGCCCAAATTAAGGTGCAAACAAGACCATATGCCAAAGTCAATAGTATGGATTTTATTTGATAGTAAAAATGAGAGAGAGAAAGAAAGAAATAGAAAATAGATGAGGGGAACAGAAAGAGAGTGGCAGAGACAGAATAAAGAAAACACCACCATCTGTGGATCCCACAGTGTTCCGTTGATCTTCTCCAGCTCATCTTCTTGGTGGTGATGGTCCCCCTGAAAAGCATCTTAAGGGGGGGGTGGGCTTTGATGGCTCCTTTATAGAGTTCTGCTATAATGAGCAAAATTTTATATCAATAGGCATGAACTATTTCCATCTCTGACATCCACACCTTGACTCAAACATATAATAAATTTCTCTTTCCTTGCGATCTTCTTTAGTTTATGGTTTCTCCATGGAGGTGATAATAGAAAGATGATAGGAGTAAAGACAGAAACAACAGAAGCAGTAAGATGAGTAATTATACAGCATACAATAATCATCAACCCAGTTCTCATTAGTCAATGCTCCCACTCTGTGAAGCCCAGGAATGAGTGTTTTTTAATGTGTAGTGGATATGAGGGATATCGCAATATTGTATCTCTTAGGTGTTGGTTCAATATGTTTTAAAATTAGTTACAGAATTATACAGTGGGTCTTCATTTTCAAATTCTATAGAGGAGTATCTTCAACAGATATACATATTAATGTGTGTCAGTCAGCCAGGTTTCAAGAGGATTCCCGGCTCTTGTAGTATAATTGATTAACTTCGCATCCTGGGATAAAAGTAAATGGATTTTTTGAGGATGTGTGTTTTCTTCTTGACTGCATTCACGTATAGTTGGAAGAATATTATATGTAGTATTCTTAGTCCACTGGATAATTCTATATATTATGAAAATATTATTATTATTATGAAAATTCTATATATTATGAAAACCATTTTTTATAATACAAAATTACTACACAAAACATATTCATGCAAAATGTTCTCATGCAAGCATATTTTTACATCAGGGCAATGCTCTGTTCTCCAGAAGATAGTTGTAATTTAATCTTGACATAAAATAGAAACTGTGGATATATTATTGATGGGATTAGAAATTATATTAATTCCCTTTCAAACTTAGTTGTATTATCCTAAGTAGCCTTTTTTTTTTTTAATTTCAGTGAGTAAATTGCCCTCATCACATTCTGCACCCACAGTGAGAAGCATGTGTATTGCAGAATGTGCTATAGTCACTACACTGATTAGCATAAATAGCTTTAGTGAAGCAAAGTTAAAATACCCTCTTTGGACATATGGCAGGAAATATACATTGCCTTAAGAGCTTGTAGAAGGTTTTTTGTATTTTATTTACATCCTTTTTGCAGTCCATGGCTATCCCTCCAGGTTTATGAAGCAGGATTTAATAATTTCTTAAGTGACATTTTCTTGTGTTTTGTTAAGATTTTTTTTAGTTCTCTACTTAGTAAATCAGAAAAATTTAGCCAAATCATAATAATTTTAAAGCCCTCTGAGGCATAACTGGGGTGGTTAGTACATATTTGTATGATTTAAAATATGTATAAAATTGGTTGAGACAAATTATACATTCATAAGACCTTTTGCCACACAATTTTTCAGCAAAAAGAAAACAAGTTAGACAAAAATCAAAC